AGGCAATGGAAGGTGCTCCTCCTTCCAGGTTCCCAGAAAGCAGTCCTGCTTTTAATGCCCCCGTCACGTCACGTTATGTTACGTTTAGCGCAGCGTTACGTTGTTTTGGCCCGTCTCTGATTTTGCCTTGCTAATGTATAGGTTCAGAAGGTCACTATACAATAGCGTACGAAACAAGAGCGGCTGGCAAACAGCACCTTGTCAGCTGGCAAAACTTCTAGCGCCCACAAGTAGGCAATGAAAATGTAGAACATAGATAACAGGGTATATTAGAGAGGAAACAGGGATCAAGGAATCAAGGATCAAACCCTATAATTAGCTTAAATTTGTAAGAAATTAATAAGGATTATTAATCGATAAATCTTCTAATTAAAAGTAAAGGTAATTAATCGTAATTACAATAAATAAAAAAATCAAGTCAAATGAAATCAATTTCCATTCAAGAACCTTTTTTCCACAATTTTGGCTAGATTAATAACGATTTCATATTTAATTACCTAAACCTAATATTTAACTTCCCCGAAACCTGATGACTCACTAAAGATTAAACAAATCCCTTAGAATTTACTTAGGAAAGATGAAATCAAAGTCACCCTAATAACTAAGCAAATCTTTCCCCTATTTTTCCTCACATTTCTCAAGGTGCTGTAATGATAGATATTTCCCCGGAAAATGGGGAATAAACGAAAATGCCACATGATTTGTAAAAACCCGTTTGTCATCAAGCTGACGAAAAATCGTGGCATTTCGCACTGTGATTTACATGAGCTGGCTCATTCCTCACGTGTCCATCTCCATCTCCATCTGGGCTCGTCTCCCCTGCTCCAGCGTCCGGATCCTGCAAAAAGGGGGCGTGCTCCAAGTCGACGTCAATGCTGCTACTGACACGTGATAAAACGCTGCTCACCAACGAACCCTCCTCCGAAAACCTGGAGCCAGCCAGGGGCAGCGGTACGTTGTAGGTGAGCATGGGGCACATGGCATTAACATTTACATGGCACACGCACACACATCCTCACGGACTCCGGACCCCGGACCCCGGACTCCGGACTACGTCGACGAAGTTCAGAGGGCAGGAGCCAAGGGGAAGAAACAACAACCAAAACTTTGGCAATTCTTTTGTGCAAAGAACAGCGCACACACATGCATCCCCTGCTTCCAGCCATCCACAAAGGTGGTAATGTGCGGTCCAGGATGGACCAGGTCCGGGGTGCCGCCTCAAGGAAGTACGGAAACTCTGCTGCGATCCCGGCCTGGGGTCGGACGTTGCCATTAACGTTTCTATTGTGAGCTTTTGGCCTTAGCGAAATAAATAAAATTCGACAGTTGCGATGGACATCTTCAGACACCTCCGCACAAAGCCCAGGGCACATCCCCCGAGTCAACGAAGTGAAAACTTAGGCACTGCAAGAAAACTAGAGTTTTTGCATAAATATTTAAATAGTTTTTGCATAGTTTTTGGATTTAATTATTCAGTAAGAAAAAGCAATGTTTAAAAATTTAACAAATTAATCTCCCATTCTTATTTGTTTCAGTTAAAATGTATTCAATTCCAAAGATTTTAGATCCTTTTTCAAATATTTCAAGGATCCTTATCATGTACCTTTCATTGTCTAATATGTTCTTTTATTTTCAAGAGAATATCCTGTCGTTTAAGCTTAAATATTTATTTTTCCCAGTGATGCAAAAAGTTTGTGGTTTTCAAATTTCGCACAGACGAGCCGGGGGCTCCTGGCGAATTCCAGGAAGAGCTGGCAGAAGGCTGGGCGAGACCGGGTGAGACCGGGAACCGACACCTACCAGTTGGTGCTGCCACTGCTCAGCGTATTTATCTATTCATGCTCGGAAAAAGCAATTCGAACGGGAGCCGGAGCAGGAGCGGCCTCGGGGATTGGGATGAGGTGGTTGGTGATGCGGAGGCCAGGACAAACTTCAATGCAGCTAACGATGTAGGGACAACAACAGAAATAGAACTGCAGATGGAGTTGGACCCACGGCTAGAGATGGAGATGGTGATGGTGATGGAGATGGAGCTGCGTTTGCTGGCAATGGACTGCAGTGTAAGTTGATTCCGTGATTTCGAAGGGGGCCAAAGTTTTGTGGGCCTCGTCCTTCTCCCGGTTGCATTTTGAGCTTTTATTATGTTTTTTGGGCAACCGCCTGCCCTTCGAATGGAAGCTGTGCAGGAGTTTGGATGGCAGAGAGCACCGAAAAAGAAGAAAAGTGTAGACTTTTTAGTGTTTTACACAAAAGTGCCGGCATGGACACGACCGAGAGGTCGAGGATCGAGTCCTGGCCCGGATTGGGTGACTGGCTGCGGGCGGGATCGGGTTCCTGGACGAATGGTTAGACGCTTGGCTGGCTACAAACAAATAGACAGACAGACAGGCAGACAGAGGGAATCGAGTCTGCGAAGCGTTTGCAACATGCATTAGATTGGCAGTTGGGGATTTACTTGTAAAATGCAAATGCAATGAATGTACAATTTAGAAATTTTTACACCGAGAAATACTAGACTCGATGGAACCGTCATTGCACCATTGCAGCTAGGGGAAGAAGCGGCCAGGCCAGAACTCGTCGAGGATGTGTTTCCCATGCCTTCCTGCCGTCCTTCCTCCTTTCGAGCTGCACAACAGATATGGGGAGGGGCCAGGGACAGGATGGGGACTGGGCGTCCGGGTCTCGAGTCCTGGGCGTCAGTCTGTTTTCGGTGCTCATTTGAAATGCAAGCCGTTGTTTTGTCTGAATGACTCGTAATCTATGCTAATGAAATTGTTTTTGGTTTCGGTTTTTAAAACAAATTTTAACCCCACAGCAAACTGGCAAAAACTTTCCGCATAACAACAAAAATTGCAGCAGCAGCGAATGGCGAAGGGTGCCAAGATAAATAAACAAAATGTGTGTGTGTGTGGCCCCGAATTGAAAAGCAAGTGTAATGTACTTGAAGATAACACAATTACGTTTCGTGCCCTCAGATACTCATCGCAATGAAATCAAGAAGTTCTTCTTTCACTTTGGGCGGCAAAGAAAGGCATTTCTGACAGGATATATTTATGTTACAAGGAGGTAACCTTCCTTAATATATTCAACTTGGAAGAAGATTTAAATAAATACATGGGAAAAGGTATTCTAGTCTTCCAAAATTACTTCCTTTGCATATAACCTACTTAAATCATATTACTATCAAGTACAACGATCGATCAAGTCCTTGAGCAAAGTCCTTTGCTAATTTGGTAAGCAGGCCGATCAATAGCTGTGTGTGGCCTGCGGTTCGTAGTGTGAACCAGCTTCCAGTCTACTTAATTCGTTTACCAAAATGCCGAAACACATTTTGCGTTGTCAGGACGAGCGAGAGGAGACTTTTATTGCAACCGCAACAAGCTTACATGCCATTCAGCCGCACAAAGCGATACTTGCCACAGCTGCAATAAACTCTCTGGCTGCAGTTGCAAGTTTCAACTATAAACCGAATTGCACATGCATATGAACATGCCGGCACACACACACACACACACCAGTGCCTATGTGAGTGTGTGTTTATTGAGGAATTCATCAAAATCGCCAAGGCAACTCGAATTTTCATCGGATATTTGGGAAAACTTGTTAGCTTGGGCACTCGGAAAAATATGCTATATGCTCCATAAAGTTCACAAAATTTATAATTTATGTAAATAAAACAATTTATTCTTGGAATAAATTATTCTGTCAAACTGAAGTTATATTTTAATTAATCAAAGTCTTAGTTATGTCTTTGAAGCAAAGAAGGATAACGTTTTAAATCCTATTTATTATTATTCCTTTTATATTTTAGTAACTTGATTAAATAAATAAATTCAAGTAATTCAAGTAATTGATTTAAGTAGTAATTTATAAACTAATATTTTAAATTTTCAATATTTTGAAACCAAATTCTAAATCCCTCTGTATTCTTTTAGTTAAATTTTCCCATTATCTGTTTGTGTTAATAAAAAGGAAACCGATTTAATAGTCTAATCGGGTTGCTAAAATTCCAAGGCTACTTTAACATTGTTATCCAAGTGCATCCTTAACCCTTGAGTGGTCGGCCAGCCACTTGGCCGCCTCTCCCTGCAGCAGCCAGGAGGAGTTAAGGAGTTAAGGAGTCCAGGCGCAGGACGAGCGTCGCATGTGGCGTTGTTGATTACATTGTTGTGGCTGGCTGGCTGGCGTTGTTGTTGGATGTTGTGTTGTCTGCGGCATTATTACAGTTGTTATTGTCGTCGGCGGATGCCAGCTCCTCCTGGCTCCTGGCTCCTGGCTCCTGGCCGCAATATAAGGAATTCCCAAAACTTTTCCCCACAAAAATTTCAGCGCACTTGACGATGACGACGACGACTTCCGGCTGCAACTTGCCGAGCCCTGATGTCTGGTGTTGATGCTTTTATTTATGGCCTGCCCGCAGCTTCCATAACTCCCGGTCGGCAGGCTCTCTCTCCGGTGAAGCGTCAATAGTTGTATTTCCCCCTGCCCAGCATCCGGAAGGATGTGAGGTACACGGATTGGGATTCGCATTCGGATTTGGACTCGAACTCGGACTAGGATTCCTGCCTCACAACTTAAATACGGCGCCCCGGGGGCCTCGACGTTTGAATGCGAGCTTGAAAGTTCCGCCGCGACTTTGGCCGCACCCCCCGCGCCTGACGCAACGTAACATTACAGTGATTACGCCCTGTAAAACTTACGCTCTTATTGTAAGCTGGCCGGGGGTTTGCCATCCCTTGGGTTCGAGTTTTACACTCAGAAAAACAAGCTAACTTTGACACGCCCACCTTGCAGTTTCCAATTTGCCATTGAATCATTATGAATTGATCCATTTTGGCCATACAAATTCCGTTTTGATTGAACTTAAAAAGCTTCCACGAACATTCTAGATTCTTCACAATTATCTAAAGCACAAAACCTAACGGTGAAGTCTGTGTCGTCGACAACCCGTAAAGATGATGGTGAAGGGGAAGGGGGAGAAGGTATAGATCTTCACTTACTCTGTTTGCGGCGGGAAGTCCGATAGCTCTCTCTCGCTCTCTCTTGATGAAATTCGCAAAGGTATACGCAGAATATAAATTTACAGATCACAGGAAATGAAATGCACAAAGACACCGAAAAATGCAGGCCAGAGAAAATATGTGTGTTGTTACACAAAACATAAATACAAGATAAATAAACTAAACACTAAAGCGAGACGGAAACTAGCGGGACTTCGTTGAAAACACTGGCACTTATCTGTTTCACTTGTACATTTCATTTCTCTTTAATCAAAAAAAGTCTAATGCTTAGATTTTCATACGTTGATCGATTCCGAACCCTCCGGAGGGTTGGTTTTTCATTACGGTTCGCAAAATCCGTGAATATCACGCCGATATTTATTTTTTCGCACTTTTTTCACTCGCGCAGCACCTTTTGCGACCGAACAATGTGATTAATGCAGACAAATTGCGGGACAATGATGGAATATTGGAATGCAGTGAGAGAAATATTGGAATGCAATGAGAGAACCTTAATTGAGAGGCGGCACGGTCCAGAGAGCGACACTCTCTTCCAGCTAGTGGCTGATATTGGAAAACGGTGGCTGGCACCTGAAAGCTTTGCGGCCAATAAGCCGAATATTAAATCGATCATAACTAAGGCAAAAATGCATTAATTTAAGATCGAAAAGCTTTTCTATGTTAGTTTTTTGTATGTTTATAAATATACATACTCAATTTTAAAATTAAAGAATCTCAAAAATTTGGGCAATTTTTGACAATTTAGACAATGTAAAAGTTTAAAAAAATTAAACAACAACAAAAATGAATAAAAAGACTGGGCTGTTGATGCTGATCACGAATATATGTTATGATTTATAGGGTCGGAAATGACTGCGTCATTGTTTTGGAAGCTTCTGACTGACTACAGAGGTTAAATAATTCCACTAAATATTTAACAACTTCAGAATTATTAAATAAAAACAAATTTTCCCCAAGTGTATATCCTTTAAGTATATATGTGTCGAACTTTGTGAATTGCAAGTGCGAAAACTTGAAGGGAAAACTTCAAATGCGCAAGTTGCAAAACACAGAGCCAGCAAGGGGGACAAGGATGGTACTCCTCCCAGGACCACTATTTTCCCAGCTAGCAACTTTCAGCTACAACCTGCATTACCAAATCAAGCAGAGCACGTAATGAATCAGTCACAGCGATTAACTTTTACAGCAGCATCGGGAGGACGAATAGCAACTGACGGAGGACCTCGACGACGATGGGAGGCGACAAAGTCAACGGGGTAGAGTCCCTGATCTTTGCGATAAAGCTTATAACCTGTTCTCTATTTACTTGAAAACTCTTTTAATAAATATTTAATATTGATTTAAGTATTTAAATGCTACATTATTTATTCACTGCCAATTTAAACCATTTTAGCCTTGTAATATTAGATACAAAAAAAAACTGCTGATTAACCTTTTTACAAACATGTACAAAAAATTACTCGCTTCAATTATTGTTAAATAGTTTCATTTATTAGTAAAAATATAATTGTATTTGATTTGTATATTTAAGTATATTGTTTGTATAATTTTAATTAACAAATATTGCAGCAAATTTCATCTACTAAATTATGGATTACGTTACGTATGCTTCATACGTTTACACGGATGTTTATTTTCGCTTCGTTGTCTGCGTGTTCCTCCTCCGGGACCCAATCCCACCTGTCTCACTAATTCTGTATGAGTTTGTGTGTGTGTGTGTGTGTGTGTGTGTGTGTACGCTGACTTACAATTAACGGAAAAATTCAACAACAAGTTACGGCGAACAAAAACCAGGCTTTCCGCCACGGAGTTACAAAAAGTACACACGTATTGAGTACGTATATATCTACTACGTCCTTGCACTGAGTATGTGGCGTACGGATTACGACTCACGGTTTACGGATTACGGTTCACGGCTTACGTCTGACGGCTTTCGGGTTCGGGCTCGCGGCTAACGGCTCACGGCTGGCGGATTACGGACTCCGGCTAACCGCTTACATGAGGCGACAGCCCTCGCGCTCACCACTGCCGCTCTGCCTTGGCAGCTGGCGCTGCGTGGGCGTGGACTGGGCGGAGGAGCCGCTGACCATCGTGGCGTTCCCATTCGATTCGAGACTGGCGTGCCGTGTGAGTCGCTGTTGATTTGGCCGCAGGTCGCCGGTGGTTACCGTCCACTGGTTGCCATTCGCCTGCTGGGATTTTGGCACAAAATCTACCTCCTCGTCCTCGAGCTCATGGATTCCCGCCGCCCCATCCACTCCCTGTTCGTTAGCCGTGCCGACGTCTTGAAGAGGCGTGTTAGCTGCATCTCCCAACGACTGAATGTACTGCTCCAACAGATAGACGTGCGGCTGCAAGGTGAGCACGAATCCCCGGTACAGAGAACCGCTGTGATCGAAGGTGCTCTGGCTGAGCTGCTTCAATGCTGTCTCCGTCCGCCGGCAGGTGTGCACCGACTCGCTACGGATTATCCCATTGACGATCCGCGATATGGAGGCAGCATCCTGTAGCAGGATTGACAACACAAGGGCATAGTCCGTGCAATTGGCCTCGTTGAAGAGCTGTAGCAAATAACGCAGCTTAATGGACAGCTTCGCGGGCAGTGGATCCACGGCCAAGTCATCCTCGGAGGCTGGCAGGGAGTACAATCGACGGTAGCGGAAGTTATCGAATGACAATTGCGATCCGGAACGCGTCTTCAGGACGGGCAGCGAACTGGGCTGCTGCTGCTCTTCCGCCTCCTCCTCCTTGATGATCGGTTGAAGCTGCGGCGACTGAGTGGCTGCACCGTTAGGCGTGGCCAGGCTAAAGTAGCCAGACTCCGAGGTCTGCGAGGAGGATGCGCCACCACCTGTCTGCCGGTGGCTAACGCGCAGCTGAGCAAAGTCATCCTTTGCTGGCGGAGGAAATGGACTGGGCAGTTGGAGCTCCGCGTGCAGTGCCAGCAGAGCACCGGCAAAATCGTCTAGTTTGGCCGCCTTCTCTGCTTCTTGCGACAGCCACGTGACCATATGGAAGTCCAGGTAGGCGCACATATAGCCCAGATCCATCAGTTTGTGGTTCTGCAGTAATTGACGGGCATGGCGCTGGAGGATCAGATCGATGCAAAATGTCTCTCGCTGCTTCGTGGACCGACGACGCACAACCGTGGGTGGGCCGGAACTACTTGATTCCGCCACAGGCGGCACTCCGCCTGCTGCCAATGCCTGCTTGTCCTTGGGCAGATTGCTGGTTACAGTGGTGGAGAAACTGCGCTCACGGGCGATGGGACCTAGGACCATGTTGAAGGCATCCGCATTCTGGTTCACCTGCTGTTGCGTGTTCACCTGCGGCGGCGGAGCAATCTTGACATTCACCACCATTGAGGAGCGCGGTGAGTCGATCTCGTTCGGGTCGATGGCCTTCAGGAAGCGGATCAAGTCCTTGGCTAGCTCCCACTTGCGCTGTTGCAGCGCAATGTCCAGCAGCATGGTGGCGTATTGCTTACTCACCACCGAAGGCTCCAAGTTCTGCAGTATAATCAAGTAACTGGCAGCGGTGTCCAGCTGCTCCGACTGCAGGCACAACTGGAACAGCTCCTTCGGCTTACCGGCCATGGAGAAGAGGTACGGCCACAGGGCAATCTCCGTTTTGCGGGCGCACTGCACTATGGTCTCCAGGTAGACGGGAAACTCACGTATAAAGTCCAGGATGCTGGGCAATTGGGCATCCGGAATCGGCTGCTTGCTGGTGGCCTCCTCTTCCAGTACCTCGTGCAGAAGCAACTCCAAAGCGTGTGGGAAGTAAGGGAGCGAACGACACGACTGCGCAATCTCCCACGCCGAATATCCGAGATTCCGTTTGATCAACTGACGCAGCACCTTGTGCAGGTAGATCTGCGACTTGCGTTCCATCGTGGCGAACGGCAGTGAAAAATGGGAGCCCGCCTCGTTGGCGTACAGCGTGCTCTCGTTCTCCACTCCCAGCACAATCACGTTGTCGAAGAGCACGACCAGTGGATAGAGCTTCAGCGGAAAGCCCAACATGATACGCTTGGACATGAAGCTGTGCAACCGCTGAGCGCCGCCCTGCTCTCCCTCGCGTCGCTCTCTGCCCGGCGGCAAGATGGGCAGCCACACACGCATGCCATGGGCTCCAGAGTACAGCCAGAGGCAGTCGCGCATCGCACATCGCTCCAGGGAGTGAGACAGCCAAAAGACTTCCACGCAGCTTGCCAGACATGTGGCCAGTAAGGTGTTGGGAACCTGTTCGCCGGCGTCGCGCTGAATCATCAGGATGCGTCCGCACACGTTCACAATTATCGTCTCCGCCTGTTCTGCACCCGCCGCCAGGTGCTGTCCCGGAGGCTTCAGCTCATTCTTAAGGTTGGTGACCGTCAGGCTCACAATACATGCAGGATGGATACAGATACTCTTTACGTCCAGCTCGTAGGCGCACTCGATGTCCAGGGCGTAGGCCGATTTCTTGGTCATATTGAACAAACTCACAATTCCATCTGCCGTAAGCACGATCAACTGGTGCCGGAAGGAGTTCAGACTGATCACCGGAGCCCGAACCTGCAACTTGTGTCCAAACTGGTTGTCCAGCTTGCACTCCGCCGGATAGCAGCGCAGCTCGTCCGTGCGATCCAGCAGCGAGTAGCAGCCCATCACCACGAAGCCTTGCCACCAAAGCAGGCCACCGGAGACGACGAAATCCTTCTCCTGCGACTCGTTGCCAAAGAGTTTCCAGCGACGATTCACCAGTGAATAGTGGGCCAGTCCAGTCCGACCAGCCACTGCCAGATGAAGTCCGTCAGCATCAATTGCTGCATACCGAATGGGCCAGTTGGTGGCCGCATAGTTCAGCGGCAGCTGTAGAACGGTCCAGTACTTGCTTTCCGTGAGAATGCTGCCCGTGTGCGGGCTCTGCTTCAGCTCTAAGCAGTCGCCATCGCTATCCGCCGCTGCCTGATCCGTGCCCACGCCGCTTGAGGGGAATGTGGACTGACTGCCGGCATATGTCCGTTCCAGATTGTTGCCTTGGTTAAGGTACAGGCAATCGTCGCCCTGCAGTAGGATGTGCGGGTTGGTGGTCATGCAGGGGTTCATGCTCAGTGCGCTTTTCAGGAACTGCAGCTGCAGTACGTTACTCTGCTCCTTGTCTCGGTCGCCCTGCAACTGCTGCGTAAGCATAAACAGCTGATAGCCCTCGGTAGACCACTCCAGGCGACGCAGCTTGAGCGGATTCTGTCGTAAAAGATCCACGTTTAGACCAAAATCCCAGCTCAAAGTGGACATCAGCAGGGCTCCGAATGTGCTCCACAGCGACAGACCGCCATTCGTCCAGCTCACGGCCAATACACAGCCGTCGGGGCTCCATTTCAACTCGTTGACTGCCCCCAAGCTGCCGGGCAACACGTTCTCCGTGAGCATTAGGCGGTGCGAAAATTCCAGTCCACCGGTGGCATCGTCAATTGCATATACATTCACGCCGGAACTCTCCTGACCGTAGGCCAGCAGCCGGAACTTGTGGTTAACGCTACACACGCTGGCATCCTCCACGTCAGGCACCCAAAAGCCATGCATGTGATCCGTTTCGAACTTCAGGTGGTTGGCAATTAGAAAGGCGGCCCGCCGATCGCTGAATACGGCCGCACAGCCACCAATGAATGGCGAGTATTCCAGCGATGCGATGTAGGAGTCTCGGCTTAAGGGTGGCACATTCCGGGCGGAGCCTTGCTGCGCCTGCTGCTGCTGCACGTAGAAGGGAATGTCTCGCAGCTTGATGGCAGCCAGGGCGGGTACCTCCAGTTCGTTTTCAGCCAGCTCCAGCTGCGCCCACTGCAGCCGCAGCAGCTCGCACGACTGCGTGGCCAGGAGCAGTTCGCTCAGGCTGATGCAGCATACAGTGGTGATGACGGAGCCCAGCGTTACGCTGCACAACTCGCGCAGGCTCAGACGCGGGATGTTCTCCTTGATGAACAACTCGGCGGAGTCCCGCTTCAGGCTCGCGGCTGGCGGATCCACCTGAAGCAGGATTCCGCTGCCATTGGCGTCGAAATCCAACTGGTAAAGAAGCAGGGCGCCGCCGGCGCTTAGCACGGCCAGTTGCCGGGAGTCCGGCTTCCATACGATCAGCTGGTTGGAGCCATACTGCCGCAGTGAGTCCTCGGATCGGCGAAAGTAGGCGATGGGGATGAGAGGGTTTGCGTACCAAATTCCCAGGAAGTCATCGCCAACGGCGGCCACGAGTATCTTGACGGCGTCGCAGCAAATGTGCCGGATGCAGGCGCCCTCTCCGGGCAGCGCAAGACCAACCCGCTTGGGCCAGCCCACGGGAAAGTACATCCTCCTCCTCCGTGTTTGTTAGGTCACTGTGCAAACGGAAAACAGCGGTTAACGATTGCGGAAAAGTGCTGCGGAGCGCGGGTGCATTTACATGGTGTGGGTCAAGCTGCTTTTTACATGTCCTCCGTCGACTAATTAGCACTTTTATAAAAACATTACACGGCACAACAAAAATTTATTTGCGATTTACGCGTATACAAGTATCAGTGTTGGTCAACGGTCTCAAAATCTCAGCTGTTTGCATACCGCCACTTTGCAGTACTGAATCTGCTCAGACGTTTCCGCATACCAACGATAGTGTTGGATAGTGCTGATAAATCACATCTGTGCGTTTTGCAGAATTGATTCTCGACCGAAATTAGCCGGCTTTGTAAAATAAATAGAATTTTAAATATATTTACAAAATGACTGCATTCGAGGGTAAGTTAAAAACAATATTAAAAGCTCTTTGTCTCAGTTAAACCATTTCCTACAGAGTTCGGCGTGCTCCCGGAGCTGGGAAAAGCCACTGACGAATCGGATTGGACGTAAGGAATGAACAATCTTTGCTTCCTTTACTTATAAATAACTTTTTCAACTTGCAGCCTTCCCACTGATGTCCAGGCAGAGGCCATTCCCCTGATCCTGGGCGGCGGTGATGTGTTGATGGCCGCGGAGACTGGTTCGGGAAAGACGGGCGCCTTCTGTCTTCCCATTCTGCAGATTGTTTGGGAGACGTTGCGGGACATCGAGGAGGGGAAAGGTGGCAAGGGCGGCGGCGGGGGAGCGGCTGGTTCGGTGGCTCCTTGGACCATGTCCTTTTATGATCGTGGTAACGCTTTGGCCGTCACACCCGATGGTTTGCGCTGCCAGTCGCGAGAGTTCAAAGAATGGCACGGATGCCGCGCCACTACCGGAGTCCGCGGCCGGGGCAAGTTCTACTACGAGGCCACAGTCACAGACGAGGGCCTGTGCCGCGTTGGCTGGTCCACGCAGCAAGCGAACCTCGATCTGGGCACCTGCCGCATGGGCTTCGGATTCGGCGGCACCGGCAAGAAGTCTAACAACCGCCAGTTTGATGACTACGGCGGGGCCTTCGGCAAGGCCGACGTCATCGGTTGCCTGTTGGACTTGGAGCGTCTGGAGGTCAGCTTCACCAAGAACGGTCAGAGCCTGGGTGTGGCCTTCCGCATACCGGATAACCTCGCCAAGGAAACATTCTACCCAGCCGTGGTCCTCAAAAACGCCGAAATGCTGTTCAACTTTGGCAAGACTGAGCTCAAGTACCCGCCGGGCAACGGATTCGTGGCCGTCTGCCAGGCTGGAGCGGAGCACAGCAAAGCCAATCCGCTGGCTAGTCCGACAGCCAGCGCCGTCTCCGCCACTCCGGCGCCCAATGCTCCCCAGGCCATCATCATTGAACCCAGCCGAGAACTGGCCGAGCAGACCTACAACCAGATCGAAAAGTTCAAGTACCATCTGAGCAATCCCGAGGTTAATTCGGTGCTCCTTATCGGAGGTGTGCGTCTGGAGGAGCAAAAGAGTCAGCTGATGCAGGGCGCCCACATTGTAGTTGGCACGCCAGGACGCTTGGAGGAGATGATCAACAGCGGCCTAGTGCTCCTAACCCATTGCCGCTTCTTCGTGCTGGACGAGGCAGACGGTCTGCTCAAGAGTGGCTACACGGAGCTGATCAACCGCCTTCACAAGCAGATACCCAAGATCACGACGGACGGACGCCGTTTGCAGATGATCGTCTGTTCGGCCACACTGCACGACTTCGAGGTGAAGAAGATGGCCGAGCGCCTTATGCACTTCCCCACTTGGGTGGACCTCAAGGGCGAAGATGCCGTCCCGGAGACGGTGCACCATGTGGTATGCCTGGTTGACCCGAAGGCGGATACCCGCTGGCAGTCGCTGCGCCAAGCCATCCCCACCGATGGCATTCACGACCGAGATAACGTCCATCCCGATAATCAATCAGAGGAGACATATTCCCAGGCGGTGAAACTGCTAAAGGGAGAGTACTGCATCCACGCCATAGATAAGCACAAGATGGACCGTGCCCTCATCTTCTGCCGCACCAAGCAGGATTGCGATAATCTGGAGAAGTATTTCCGGCAGCGCGGCGGCCAGCGCTACTCGTGCGTCTGCCTCCACGGCGACCGGAAGCCACAGGAGCGCAAGCAGAACCTGGAGATGTTCAAGCGTCAGCAGGTCAAGTTCCTTATCTGCACAGATGTGGCGGCTCGCGGTCTGGATATCACCGGTTTGCCCTTCAGTGAGTTATTAATTTACTTAAATGAGAATCATTAAGAATATACTTTATACCGTTTCCATCTACCACTCCCCAGTGATCAACGTGACGTTGCCCGACGACAAGGCCAACTACGTGCATCGCATTGGACGCGTGGGCCGAGCCGAGCGCATGGGTCTGGCCATCAGCCTGGTGTCCACGGTGCCGGAAAAGGTCTGGTATCACGGCGAGTGGTGCAAGACCCGCGGCCGCAATTGTTACAACACCAACCTGACCAATGTCCGTGGCTGCTGCATCTGGTACAACGAGCCGAACTTGTTGGCCGAGGTTGAGGACCACCTGAACATCACCATCCAGCAGGTGGACAGCGCCATGGACGTGCCCGTCAATGACTTTGATGGCAAGGTGGTGTACGGCCAGAAGAACCTCAGCATGGGGAGCGGCTACGAGGACCATGTGGAGCAGCTGGTGCCCACCGTTCGCAAACTAACCGATCTGGAGTTGCAATCACAATCTTTATTTTTGAAACGCCTTAAAGTCTAGAGCGGATCTGGAGCGGTTTTTGTTTGCTAAGCAAAGAGAGGAGAGGATAGGACAGGGTGTGGCGTGGGATGAGGCGACTGCATGACCAACTCATGCGGGAATACTTTTGCGGCGAACACACACACACACACACACATAAATAAGTAGGAAGGCGGAGCGTATGCTCCAGAGAATGCACGTTACGAGTAAACATTCAATTAAACTAACATTAAAATCTTCCATCTAAAGAGTATACAGCCTCGGGCGGGAGCTGGAGCTAGAGTCACTCCTCCTCCTCCTCTTCCTCGTCCTCCTCGTGAAACTCGGTGCGCATCTGCTGTAGCTGTCTGAGTTGTTGACACAGCTGGTTGCCGAAGGATTCCACGTAGCGGGGGCTTATCTTGTCTAGCAGTGCATAGGGTGTTTCGAAGATCTCCTCCTCCTCGTCGTCGTCGTCACCTCCGCCCTGGATGTCGCTGTTGCTCCCTCCTCCATTGCGGAGAAGAGCAGAGATCCGCTTGTCCTCGTCTATGGTATCGTACTGGGAAGAGACGATCTTGAAGCCGCGACTGGTCACCTGCACGCAGCAGGTGGCACTCTCGATGGTGCGAATGTTGAGGAAGATCTGCGTGGCATCGCTGGCCAGCTTAGAGGAGATGCAGATTTCGGCGACGTGCGCCTTCACATCGTTGATGATGGCGTTGGCCTCGTCCACGCAGTTGAACGGCTGCTCCTCATCGGACTCCACGATGGCTTTCGGCTCGCCCATCGTTCCACAGGCGCCACGGAGTGCTTCGGCTCACGTTTTAATTGAGTCCCAGACGATTTCCTTGATTTTTTACAGGCGCAACATGTCTTTTCTTCTCCATATGTGACAGCCAGTGTTGTCAGTTTAGCTTTTTTTCGGGGTAGATCTGGCGTATTTGTAAAAACACATACAACTATTAAATACCAACATGCATATGCTGAAAATATAACTTATTTTAATGTTCATTCAAAGAATATTATGAAATCTACGAATTAATGATGAATTTAACTAAATTAAAAACATTAAGAATGTTATAATGTATGGTATCTTGTATTTGAGTGCAGCTTGTTTTTTGTTTTACCCTGGCAGGGCATTATAATTTAAGTTCGAATGAAACTTTGCCGTTAGGCTTCTATATTATTATCCATTATCACTATATAAGTCGGACTGAACGAATATATCATATAGCTGGCATAGAAATTTTCGAAAAATTAAAAAAATAAAAATAATTATAACTTTTTCAGTTTTCAACATATTTTCATCAAACTTGAAATATAGGCACTTTGTATTATTCTAGAATTTCGGTTTTAATTTTATGAAAATCGGACGACTTTATTATATAGCTGTCATAAAAACGATCGTTAAATGTAGAGAAAAATGCAATGTGTAGTGGTAGGTATTTCTTCGATGTTTTTCAACATAAATATTTATATATTGTTTATTATATTTATTATTAATGATTTAATTGCAACCTGCAAGGCCTTAAAAACTTTTTCAGGCCTAAGATAGCTTCCTTACTGGTTTTTAAGTTATTTTTCTTTTTATATATTTAGCTTATTTTTAATCAGAATCTAGCTTATTCGGTCGGTCATCACTTGGCATCACTGGTCACCCAACTGGATTGCTTGGAATGCAGCGGGAATACTCTAAAGCATTGGACATACTTCTCCAGGAGGCCGAGGAGCTGTGCATTGGCAGCGATGTTGCTGAACTGGACCATGTGCCCACAGCCGTGGAGTTTTGCCGCGACTACTATGCCAAGAACCAGCCGGTGGTCATCCGGCAGGCGCTCTCGTGGCCGGCAATCGGCAAGTGGACGCCGGAGTACCTGATCCAGGCTCTGCACGACAGGATCGTGGACGTGGCCGTAACACCCAATGGCTATGCCGATGGCCTGGCCACCCAGAAGGGTCAGGAGTACTTTGTACTGCCGCTAGAGACGAAAATGAAGCTGTCGGAAGTGGTCCGCCGCATGGATGATCCCACTGGCGCCGTTCACTACATCCAGAAGCAGAACTCCAACCTCAGCGTGGACCTGCCTGAATTGGCTGCCGATCTACGGGTCAGTGACCTGGACTTTGCTCAGCAATCGTTCAACAAGCCCCCGGATGCCATCAACTTTTGGCTGGGGGATGAACGGGCCATTACCTCAATGCATAAGGATCCCTACGAGAACGTGTACTGCGTGATCTCCGGCTACAAGGACTTTATCCTCATCCCGCCGCACCAGCTGAGCTGTGTGCCGCGCCGCATTTATCCCACGGGCGTGTACAGGACATCGGAGAGCGGGCAGTTCCACATCGAACCTATTAGGGACGAGGAGGGCGGCGTACAGCTCACCGAATGGGTCAGCATCGATCCGCTGGCTCCTGACTTTGCCAAATATCCGGAGTACGCGAGAGCCAAACCGCTAAAGGTGCGCGTCCACGCTGGAGACATCCTGTACCTGCCCAACTACTGGTTCCATCACGTGAGCCAGAGCCACAAGTGCATCGCTGTGAACTTCTGGTATGATCTGGACTACGACAGTCGCTATTGCTACTACCGCATGCTGGAGCAGATGACATCCCGAGGGACCAACTAGGCGCATCCAAGGATACGTTACCTCAGGGATCTAAAAGCAAATCCATATCGTTCGTCTTCGGTGTGTAAATATATATTTATAATTGTTACATAATTTAAAGTTAATAATATAAACTAAAATCCAATGGAAACATAGGACAAAAGACAACAAGGATTTAACGTCTGTGAAAACAGTAAATGAGTGAAGTATCTGTAGTGAGATTAGGAATGTGTGTATTGTGATAGCTCGTCCGCATCCTTCGTCTAATCCAAACTGACGTCTGCTTTCTCCCCGCTAGAGGAGTCGCCGGCTGCCTCTCCTCCATCCGCCTCCTCGCCGGGATTCTCGTTGTTCTCGCACTCCAGGTCGACATTGCCCGAAGAGGAGACGTTCATCTGATCAGCCTCGGCCAGATCGGCATCGTTGTTAGAGTCCTGCGACTGAGATTGGGACTGCTCGCGATCGCGCTTATTTGTCTGCTTCTTGGCCGGACTACCGGGAGCAGGAGACTCCTTAGACTTGACCTTGCAGCTTCCCTGTTGCGGCTGCTCCACCACGAACAGTTGCTCCAGATAGGAACGGTACCAGAGCAGGAACTCATCGCGTTGCCGCGGTATGTCCATCTTCTTGATCTTGGCGTAAATGCGCTTAGGCGAGATTAATGGAGAATTGGCAGCCGAGTTCTGAGCAGCGGTGGCCGTCAGCTTGGAGACCTCGGCCAGCAGAGAGTCGTTGATAACTGTGTTGTTGTGTGTCTGGTTGCGAATACGCCTGATGATGTACTCGATCAGCTCATGATCCGGAGTCACTTCGACGATGGAGCATGTGGCAGATGCATCTAGTCTTGATCCAGAAACTGGTTCCATCGGCACCTTGAGCATTTGCTGGCAATAAAGACGCAGTTGGTTAAGCTTGGCACAGTGATAGATCCAAAGGTCGGATAGCTATGGGGTTAGTGGATTACTTCTATGTCTGCTAAAAGGATTCCTCCCATAGGGAAATTTGTATAAATTTTTTGTCTGAACTAAGAGCTCTGGGAACGGGACGGGATATATGTATAACCCTTTACTTACATCGTGATCCTCAGATCTCGCTGTAGACTGTTCCTCCGAGGGACTGGTTTCGCTCTCCTCCAGATCATGACCGTTCTGAGGGATGACCACGGTTAACTGCTTTACTGGCGACGTTTTCTCGTCTTCTGGCCGATCGCTGTCCAGCTGTAGGCGCATCACTTCCAGGGGCGTTTCACTGCGACTCTCGGTGGCCTCCGCATCAGCATCCGCATCCGCATCCCCTGAAGCCTCGTTCTCGTCCTGATTGAGGGCTTTCCGCAGATTTTGTGGCTCTTGGGACTGCTGCAATTGATGCTGTTGCTGCTGCTGCTCAAAGAGCGTCTCCAGTCGGCGGTAGACATCCTCCTTAATGGACTCGTAGAACTTGGTGGTGAACTTGTCGTTTTTAAGTGCATTGACCAATAGATTACGGTTCAGTTCCTCGGAAGCCGTCTCCTCGGTTTGCTCCAGCGCATTGGACTCGTCTGTAGCCGCAGCTTCCTGGCCAAGAAGGGGAGTAGTGTCGGCACTCGCCACTACTTGAGGCATCTCGAATTCCATGTACTGAGCCGGCAGCTCGAAATCGAATCGAAGGTGACGTTGCTGGAGGGGAGTCAGCGAAACCGCTGAAGTGCTGGGCTTGGCCGGTACCTTATTCCTCTGATATAACGGACTGTTGCCGTAGTTGACGTTCATATTCAGGTTGGAGGAACTGGGCTGCTCGGGCTCCTCATCTCGCAGCGTTGAAAGCTGGGGACGACGACGATTGCGACGTCTACCAGAGCCGAATATAACATTGTCGTGATTTTCCTCCACATCGTCCATGTCCTCGTCGTCGTGATCATGATCCGCATGTGATCCAGGATCCTCGCGCCAATCACGCTTCCTGGCACTGCCACCACTGTTGTTGAGATTGTTGCTGCCAGTGGCGCTGGTGCTGCTATGCAAAGCGGTTAGTGGCGACTCAAAGAACTGGCGACGCTGTTGCTGCTGCTGTTGTTGGTGAATTAAGCCATTACGTGAGGACGGCGGTGCGCCCAGGAGCTGCGACGGCTGAAAGTAGCTGGGACGCGCCCGCTGCCGGCGATATAGCTGAAGGTCCACGTTCAGCTCCTCGTTGCTCTTGTTCGAGAGAAGATTCTGGCGTGAATGGCTGCAAAGGCGCACGGTTATTAATGGGTTAATGCAAGCGGCTAGCAAACGGTTCAAGCAGGGGTTAAGTATCAAAGACATAAGACTGATAAACTAAATATTTTAGCAGCTTCCCCATAAACCTGGTTAGTATTGGGTGTTAGTCTTGGTTAGTCACTTTCAACTCTGTTAATGGAACACAATTTAGCTTGCAACGACTTGGTTGCACTTACCGAGGCACAGAATTGAAAATGAACTCAAGCCAAATGGTTGGATATAACTTTTATTGCTTGGACCTTCGACCGCACCCATAACCAAACCCATGTAAAAAAAAAAACCCATCACCGAATTCGTAACATTTACCTGCGGAAGTTGTCCCAGTAGTTATTGGCTCGATTCCCTGGAGGCACCTGGTTGTTCAGGGTGACACCAGTGCCACCGGATACTCCTCCTCCGCCGGGCGCTCCACCCGCTCCCTCGGGCAGCGAGTGCAAATTGTTGGCGTACTGGTTTTGGGTCCGAAGATTCGCGTTATTTTGATGGATCGTGTTATTGTGGTGGTTCATAAAAATGGGCCCGGGGCTCGAGCGGTAGGTGGGCGGCGACAGAGGCGTCTCGTTGTTGTAATGCGTCGGTGGTGGCGGAGGAGCGGCATTGTTTAGAAACGGCTGCTGCTGATGCTGCGGCGGCTGTTGATGATGATGAGGGTCTCCCCCAGTGCGGTGACAGCTCCGTTGATAGTTACTGAAGGCGCTTTGGTGGGCGCTGAAGCCAAAGAGCTGTTCCGATTGGGCACGGCTGCTACCCATACACAAGTTATTGGGCGTCTGACCAATGCCCGGGCCCACCGAGAGATTCGGCGGCGGCACCGACTCAGAGCGCAGCCCAAAGCTGTGATCCTGGCAAGCCACTACACTCAGACGATCTTGGAGCTAGACGACGCAAAAGTTAGCCAATGTTGGAGTAGGAACTAAGGAGTAGGCACTGGCTTACCGAGTGTATTTGTGTGTTGAGGTTGTCAATCTCACGCTGCTGATGCCACAGCGTTTGATTGCACTGGCACACCGAGTTAATGAGCATCTGCTGCGTCTGCATGAACTGCTGCAGCAGCATGGCATCGGACGATGCGTTCGATCCGGAGGCGTTCGAGGAGCCCATTTGTGGAGCTGCCGGCGGTGGCTTGAACTCTGTTCCGGCGTTGGCGGTGGCCTGTCCATAAATCGGTTGCTGGCCGTGCCAGGCATTGCCGGCGTTATGAGAGGCTGCGGAATAGGAAGCAGTATAAAAGACACAGCTTATCAAAAGCAAAAGCACAACTTACCCCACATGCCCGGAACTGGCGGCATCGGCGGCGGCATATACTGCGACCTGCTGCTGGAAGGCAGACTGTCGTTGCCCATGGAGAGGGTATCGATGGTCACGTTTAGGTCGTCTTCGTTGAGCGTGGACGGAGGAGCCGGCGGCGGTGGTGCCTGTGTGCTGTTACTCGGCTGACTGCGACGCTGCTCCACCACTGTGTTGGCCGAGGCGACACGCTTGAGTGTGGCCGAGGAGGCTGTGCGCGCATTGGCAAAGTACTTGTCGCTGTCGGTGTCGTCGTTGCCCTCGTCGTCCGCCTCCGAGGTGGTGTTGTTGCTGGCCACATAACGCTGTTCAAGCTCCCGCTGCTTCTGTTCGTACTCCTTGCGAAGCCGCTCGCACTGCAGGCGCAGTTCGTCGCGCAATTCCTCCTTGCTGGGCGTGGCCTGTAGCGAAGTGTCCACCTCAGATTGATCCTCATCCTCTTCCTCCTCCTCCTTTCCTGCCACCTGCCGTTGCCTCATGGGCGTGGGAGTTGGAGTGAGACTACTTCTCTTCAGCGCGTCCTCGCCCATTTGGACAGCGGCTGCAGCTTGCTGCTTGCGCCGTTCGATTTCTGCCTTGAGAGCCAAGATGCGATCGCGCTCTTTCTGCAAGCTGACAGCTTCGGCACGCAGCTCGGAGGTGACATCGTTTAGGGCGAAGAGCCGCTGGGCAATCTCAGCCGGTAGTTCGCGCTCCACGCTGGTTCGTTCCTCACTTCGTCGCTCCAGTGCGGCGCCCATGGCGGGCACGCTTTCCTCAATCTGGCTCACCGTGTTCAACATGCCCTTCAGTGTGGCCATTTGGGCCTTGAGAGCATTGATGTCGGCCGTTTTCTGGTTAATCATGTTCTGGGCGTGGAGGGCTCGTTGTGCTGCATTGGCCGCCTCTTGTCGCATGATGGGCACGTTTCGCGTGTACTCCACTGGGACAATTCGCTCCTTGGCCGCAGATCCAGCTGGAGCAGAAGTTGGAGCTGGAGCAGGAGTTGGAGCTGGAGCTGTCTTAGCCGGAGGCGTAGGCGTTTCCTCCTTGACGGGCCTGGTCGTCTCCCTGGCTGCGCGGTTGATGCTGTTAAGCTCATCTACAAGGTTACGCATATCCTCCCGCTGGCTGCGCAGAGATTCCAGTTTCTCTTGTAACACCTGTTGCTCGGCCAGGATCTCGGGTCCGTCATCGCCCAGCACGGAGCTCAACTCGTTCTGGTTGTGGATGAAGGCGGTGAGATTCTTCATGCGCCCCACCAGGGATGCCATGTCGTCCTGAACCTGCTGCACCGACTCGTACTTAGGCGCCTCCCCACCATTGCTTGTATGGGGCAATTGATCAGCCTGCTGGCGAAGCTGCTCCATCTCGGTCAGGTGGGACTTGGCCAGGTTCTGGATGTGCAGCAGCTTGGCCTGCTCGTCCTGCAGGTGCTGCATGTTCCGGTTAGAGGCCTCTAGACGCTGCTGCAGCTCATCGAAAGTGGGAGTCGTATCGGGCGTTGGCGTCTCCAGGACGCTGTGCAAGGACTGAATGGACTGGGCACGGTTGTCGCTCATCTGTAGACGAAATTGCTTCACTAAATGGGTACTGTTTGTTGAAGTTATGTTTTGTCAGCTTACCTCGCTTAATGCAACATCCTCTAAGCTGGTCGAATTGACGATGCCCTCGTCCTGCTCGCCGCTGGGATTGATCTCGTGCACCATATTGATAAACTCCTGCAAGATGAGTATTGAGGTTATTTAGCCTTAAAAGAATATAACCCTCCCTCCTCACTTCTAAACGGTTCGAACTGGTCTGTTGTCTGTTGCTATTCAGATTGTCGACAAACTCCAGCATGGAACGCAACACGTCAGCTTGGGAGCGACCGGGTTCGCTTCTGGAGCCCAAGCCGGGAGCCTCTGTGCCGGTATAGTTCCCGTTAACGTTTAGGTTTCCGTTTGTGGTGCTGGTTGTGGCGTTTGGTATGACCACACCAACTGTAGCATTCGGGGGCGTCGACTGACGCAAACGCTGAAGGGACGACGAGGATGCGGGGGCTGCAACAGATGTGGATGGCGACGATGTCGATGGCTGATGCTGGACGCGTTGCACGGGACGCACGGGGAAACGATAACGCTGCTGCTGCTGCTCCTGCAATTGCTCTGCCAGGAAGAAAGAGAGAGAGAGGAGGCAAGTTCAGTGCTAGCGTTGGTGTAGGGGCTGCGGACAACACCGTCTTCGTGGGCGTTTATTTTTGTGTGCGGAGTATTTATAGAACATGAACTGGCGCACTGATCACTGTGTGGGCCAGCGGCCAGCACTTGGCCAGGTGCGGATATTGGAAATTACTCAATGAATCCGGAATGGAATTTTTGTCTTCTCTGAATGTTCTAGGAGCTCACCTGCTGAGTCGAAACTGCTACTGTGTTCCGCCGCCAATTGACGCAGGACCTCGCGCTGCTGCTGCTGCTGTGCCGGTGGCCTGGTTTCCTTTGAGCTATTGGCTGACACCTGGTCTTCCGGGGTTCGGATCTGGCCGTTGGTGATGCGTGCACGCAGGAGCAAATCCTTGAAGCAACAGCAAACAAAGGTTAGCAGAAATATTAGCAGCAGAAGTGCGGCAATTTTGCTGCTATCTATATAATGTATATATATATGTATATCTGTCTATTCAGATATATATATATATATAGAAGGCCGATCGAGATTCAATGTGCGCTGTGGCTGCGTTCGTTTTCGCTACTGAACCAGTGGCCAACGATCGCTGGCCAAGATGAGTGCAAAGTGTATTTATAAATCGAGAGAAGACGCCTATGTGCTCTTCTACGGCGGGGACAACTCACGTTTAGTTTCTTCAACGTCTCCCGCTGCAGCGGCTCCACAAAGTCCATGTCCGGCTCGCCCAAGTGCTCTTGCTGACGGCGGGATCGAGCGGATCTGTTGGACGCCGATCCGCTTGCGGGGGCTCCATTCACTTGAAGCTGCTGCTGTTGCTTGGGCACGGCGCCGGTAGCTCCGCCCACGGAATTGTTGTTGTTGCTGGCGCTGCTGCCGTGGTCAGCAGCCTGCTTCAGAGGCGGCGCCATTTTAAAAACTTAAAAAACAATAACTAAATATATGCGTATGGAAACTAGGAAATTTTAATTTATATTTTTTGTTGTACTCCAACTTTGTTTTTTTTCTTGTCTCTGACAGCTGACAAGAAATATCGGTGATAACGTAAATAAAACTAGCGAATATCGATACATATTAAAATTAATAATCATAAAATGTTATAAATGATTTAACGTACAAATAAGATATATATGTAGTATTTTTTCTATTTGCTCTTGCATTTTGCAATTATTTAAGGAATCTGTACATATTTGATTTTTAATAATATTGTCGAATTTGAATTAACTTATCGATATATCGATGCCTTCAATGTCAAAAATATCGAATAATGGGGGTTATCGAGACATGTAACCGCCAAAAGCTTTTTAAAATAATCGTTATATTTAAATTAAATAAGATGTGAAAACATGTGAAGAGATGTGATAAAAAAATATATATAAAAATTCAATAAATTTTAAGTACGATACAAATTTCGTTCCATTGTTTTAATATTTCTAAGGAATTCTACACATGATATTGATGAAATTTATTATAATTTTTGGAAAGATCGTAAAATTTCCAATTACGATATTGGCATATTGGTTCTTAGCAAGTCTAAGATTATAATAAAATTAGCACAAATTACTGGGCAGGCCCATTAATTAAATACTTTATATATACCGTTTTAAAAGGGTTAATTATATATTTGTTAGATAAGTATACATTTTAGAGTTATTCATATTAATGATACACTCCAATCTTTTGGTAATTCAGCATTTATAAGTAAGTTATTTTCCCTGTTTGCGTTGAATTATCTCCTCCTTCAGCGCCTTGATACGATCCCTCTCCTCCCGCAGGCTCTCCGCCTGACCCCGCAGATCGCTGGTAAAGTCCGTGAACATGTTGAGCATCGTATTCAGCAGCTCCGCATTGTCGGCAGGAGTACTTTGACTGGAACTTGGCCCCTCGGTGGCCTCCTCCGATTCGGTGGCGGCCACACGTACCTCAGATGTTGTGGATTGACGACTGCTCGTGCTGGAGGAACTGATCTGTGTTGTCTGCCTGGTGGACATGTGCTCCTCGATCATCTTGGTGGTATCTACCATGTGCTGGACACGCTTAAACTGAGCCTTCAGTTGGGCTATCTCGTTGAGCTTCTGCTGCAGGTAACTGGCCGTCTCCTCCTTGTCCTCCTCTTCTTCCTGGGTCTCTGGAGCAGTTTCCTCTGTGGGGGTATCAACCGAAGAGGTCGAGGACTGTTCTGTCACTGCTTCCACTTGACTGGCCTCCACTTGACTAGATTGTACTTGGCTGGTCACTGTCTCCTCTTGCACCATGCGGACAGACTGCCGTTGCTGATGACGCTGGGCATTCAGTACAGTGAGCTCGGCGGCTCGCAGCCGGAGGGTCTCCATCTCCTGGAGCAACTCTCGGTGCTCCTCCTGCATCTCCTGTAGTTGCCGATTAGAGGCTGCCAGGCGCTAAAAAAGTAAGAAAAACTATGTTAATTACATGTGCTACAAAATATCTTATTTATTTTAAGACACAACTACATGATGTATTCTTCAACCTTTATGACTGGTTCTGGCATTTTTAGAATGCAGAATCTGCCTTGAGTGACACAGAGACCTTTACATATTTCAGTTGTATTGTTCTAGAATTTTCGAAATGACTTGCGTTTTATATGCCAACCTTTTCGTTGAAAATAATGTATAAAGAAAATTAATTAAATGTACCAACAAATACAATGTTAATGGCCATAGCCACCTACAACATGTACATATGTATGTAGAAAATTTCGTTTAAATTATTAAAAATGTGCATTAAGAGCTAGGGAATTCTTTATGGTAGCATAGGGCTTCTAATTAAAATGTATAAGATATAATTAACCTTAAAGGTTATTGAATTAATAGATTTCTTCTCGATGATCTAAGAATAATGTATGTTAATTTATATTCTATATTACAGCTTACCTCACTGAGTGCGGCATTCTCCCCGTTTTGGGGCCTATTCAGCTCGTTGACCATTTTTTGTTCAATGTGCCTGAAGAAGAACAGAGGGAATCTTTTGTATTACTTACTATATGCACACAGATCCCGCACATTAATGATTTTTTTTCCAATACAAACACAGGCCCACCGCAAGGCGGCACTGTCTATAAATAAATTCTCATTTGTTGAATTCACTTCATGCTTTGACTAATGTCAATCATTTTGGCATCTCTGAAGACAACATATCCAAATGCAGTAATTATGCAAACTTACACTTAGGTATGAGTTTCTCTCACCAGTTGATGAATAATTTCTTTTAAAATAGTATTCAATTTGAATCCACGGAGCAGCGAGCAGTGTTCGAAGAGATGCCCCAATTCCAACTGAAACGAAGTGCCGAAAACGAGAATTTTTCAAACGATACTCGATGTGTTCGTAGAATTTCGTGGATCAGGCGGCGAGTGTTTCGGTAATGATGTGAGAGATCTTGTATCTTATATTCTAATTATATACACAGAGAGAAATTTACCCTTGGGAAGCTTTAATAATGGCAACAAAAAAGTTATTAGTTGCTCTTTTAAAAGGTATTCATGCCATGGCATTTTGAACCATTCAGAAGCAGCTCAAATGTTTGTTTAAGTAAATAAAGAAGTATAAGTATAACTTCCTATTTATTATTAACAATATATTTTATTTCTATATACATTTATATAACTAACCATATTCGAATATTATCTAAAGATACAATACAAGATGCAATCTTTTGAGTCAATGTAAATGCATATAGATTAAACCCAGGAAAGACCAACTGTTAGCCAAAAATTAAACCACTCAAGAACCCTTGTTTCCCTAGAATTAATATGTCAGCTGTGTTAACATCGATATAGAGATATCACAATCAGTTGAATGTTTGAAACTGAAATTAGCAAATTTTCACAGGCTGCAGAAAGCAGTTGGAATAAGAAGCTAATGATGAGTAGAGGTGCGTGAGTGGAAGAGCTCATATTCATGGATTCTCTAATAATTAATTTATTTTCTGTTTTAAAGAACTTTTACTAGTGATTACGATTTTGGTATGCGGAATATTGGCAACCAGAGCTGAGGATGGCACAACAACTGAAGGAGAGGCTGAAGCTTCTTCAAGCACAAGTTCTCCCGCGTTCGATGAGAATGATGAAGATAGTTCCTTAATTTTGGGTAACCTCAGTCTATGCGGAAATGTGGCGGATAATGTGTTCCTGCCCTTTGTGGGAGACTGCAATAAGTATTATCTCTGTCGGTGTGAGTAGAAATTCTTAATTAAACCTAATTATTTTATGACAATTATTTCTTCTAAATTATTTAAGCTGGCCAGGCCATAGCCCTGCAGTGTGAATGGCCCTACCAGTTCGATGCTCCCAGCCAGAGCTGCGTGAATCCCGGCAAGGCGGACTGTCTGCCCACCTGTGAGGCCTTCAACTTTACCACCTTTAGTTACCAGCGCACCTGCACCAAGTACGTGCTCTGCTACTATGGACGTCCTGTCCTGAGGGAGTGCCATGATGGCCTCCAGTACAACTCCCAAACGGATCGATGCGACTTCCCCAAGAATGTGGACTGTGTGGAGTCAGAGTGTTCCATTTACTACAATGCCTATCATTTGCGTTATGTGCCCAGCAAAGTGTCCTGCGAGAAGTACTTCCTCTGTGGTAATGGAGTTCCTAGGGAGCAGACCTGTACGTCAGGCTTGTACTTTAGCACCAAATGCGATTGTTGCGATATTCCATCAAATTCAGATTGTCAGGTGGGTTTTGTAGAGTATATCCTTTAATTAGCTGAGTATTACGCTTTATTCTCTTAGATCCCTGCTGATCAGCGGAAGGCGCAGTTCTTCTCCCGTCTTCGTCCTGGAGTAGTTGAAGGAATTTGTCCTCCTACAGGTATCCACATCTTTGCCCACGAGTCACGCCAGGATGCCTACTATTACTGCGTTGAAGGTCATGGTTTGATCCTGGACTGCTCTCCGGGTCTTTGGTATGACCCTAAGATTCAGGAGTGCCGTGAACCCCATAATCTAGGCCGTTAAAGCGGATTGAGTCAATAAAATAAAATAACAAGAGAAGTGAATTTCTTAGTTTTGTATCTGAAAATATATGTTTAACTTATAATTCTTTATTATTAAGCAATCTGAAGTTTGGAATGTGTAAGCCAGGATACCCTACGTTTTCTAGTTATTGCTGTCTTTCACGTTGCTTCCTTTCAGCAATTTCTGTGGCTTAAGCTTGTGTTTTATGATCTCATATTAAAGAAATTTAAAAAATTGTTAGAATATCCGTTATGAAAACCTTTATTTTAAATATTTAAACGCCAACAAACTGCGGCTCTCGGCACTCTTCACGCTGGGCATCGAAGACCAGACCTGGTGTGCAGTCCAAGATGACACCGCGTCCGTTCAGACAGTAGTAGTACGCCTCCGGACGCTTCTGGTGGGCAATGAAGTGGGCTCCCTCCTTGGGGCACTCGATGTCGGCGCTACGTGGAGGAGCGCGGGCGAAAGGCATGATGTTGCGCTGCAGACTCTCAACCTGAAAGAAAAGACATCAGGCTTTAGATAGATCCTAAGAACCGAGGATATGTCCTAAAACGCACCGTACAGTTGACCTTGGAGGCAAAGTCGCAGCTTTGGGTCGCCGGGTTGTACTGCAGACCATAGGAGCAGTTCTGGACCGTGGGCAGGCCGTTCAGACAGACGTAGTACTTGTTGCAGCTTGCCTTGCTGGCTATGAAGACAATGTCCTCGGGGTTGTTCTCCCGAATGCAGAGGTTATCCGCACAGTCCACATACTGGGGGTAATCGCAGCGATCGGTCTGGGCGTTGTATTGCAATCCATCGGAGCAGGCACGTACCACTGGGGTGCCATCGAAGCAGAGCACATACTTATTGCAGGTGCGGTCGTAGCTGAAGGACTCTAGACCACGGGCCTTGCACGACGGGATGCAGGTGGCCTCCATCACATCCACGCACTGCTGGTCGCGGGAATCGAAGAAATACGTTTCAGGGCACTCTCGAGGAACAGGCGTCTCACCTGGAGTTGGAATTGGGAGACCATTGAGTTTTTTCCAAGGAGTCTAGTGGAAGTCTACTCACTCATGCACAGGTAGTACTTGCTGCAGTTGCTCACATGCGGCAGGAACAGATTATTGACCACATTTGAGCAGATGTTGATGTCGCTATCAGCGACTCCACATGCACCAATCAGGGCCACGATTGCCAGCAGGGTCTTGGGGTGCATCACTAGAAAAATTTAGTTAATGTTTGTCTGGCGAAACTCCTAGGTGCAAGTCCTACTCACTCTTTGGGCTCGGCTTCCTCCACTCACTATTGCCTTTGATCAAAAAACGGGTCTATTTATGGCTGAAAGTCTTTTGACAATCAATTTGCCGTTTGTTTTGGTTGACTGCGAATTGGAAAACTTATCAGATGAGGATGCATGATTTTCTATTGTAATTAGAATCATTCAAATTCTTCTGGAGTAGATAGTGATGAACAAGAGCCAATCTAGAGGTGGTTCAATCAGCAACCCCTTCTAAAATTTGCAGTACTATCAAGCATTAGGAAACACGTGTAACGATGAGTCACACTGTTGTACTTCTGATCTGTTGTAATTGTAACATCTGGTTGGAGAGATAAGATAGTTATTCCACAGTAAACTTTATTATTAGACATGTGCATAGTGAAAAGTTTATGGGGTTTGAAGCCTTAATGTTTGAGGACAACATAGACTTTGAAATGTAAAAAACCGTACAAATTATAAATAATTTATTAGAATGGTTTTATATTCTAGGACTTCCAAGATCCTGTACTTAAGTGATCTCTGGAAAACTTTCCTACCCAACAATGAAGACAAATGGATTTTTGGTTAATGATGGTTAATGATGAGATATGATATCCACGGTTTCTGGGAACCAGCCTATACTTAGCATTATAAGCATTGTCTCAACTTATCGCCATGTTTGGCGCAGATAAATTGACATTTGAAGTGTTTGGCGAAATTAGGTAGTTCGTCTGAGAGAGGCGTGTGCCGAAATTAGCAAGTGATAAGACCAAGTTGGCAAGAACTCATTAGGCGTTAACAAAGAGAACTCAAATGATACGACTTATAAATTGGATATTTTCCAGACAAACAGCAAACAGTTGGGCTGCACATCGCAAACTGTCCAGGAGTAAGTATCTCTAGAAACCACTATTTATTTCTTCAGTTAACTATTTTACATTAACCATTGGCAGTGAAGTGGCTAATAAACTCTGGCTTTCTGCTCACCCTCTTGCTGGTGGATCGTGGACGAGCTGACGAAGACCTTGTGGTAGCACCCGAACCTGGTGATGATGGTAATATTGAGGATGATATTTCCATCAAGTATGACATTTACAATAGCAGCATAAACATATGCCACAATGTGGCAGATGAAGTCTATCTGCCCTATGTGGATGACTGCGATAAGTACATCGAGTGTCAGGGTGAGTTTAGAGCCAATCAGGGGCATGATTAATACATATGATAGATTAATATATATACTTGAATGATTTGTAATTAAGATGGCAAGATAGCGAAAATAGGCAGCTGCCTGGAGCTAGAGAGGGCAACTCCAACCCTTTGCCTTGACGAGGGTAAGTCCTGCAATTTGGGCTTCGACCCGGTCTTCCAGGTGTGCACCTACAGGAGCAAGGTGCAGTGTCTGCCCACCTGCGAGAGCTTCGCCTTGAGCAGCTTCTGCTATGACAACACCTGTACCAAATATGTTCTGTGCTACTACGGACGTCCAGTGCTCCGGCAGTGCCACGATGAGCTGCAATACAATAATAAGACCGACCGCTGTGACTTTCCTCAGTTCGTGGACTGTGTGGCCAATGATTGCTCTGCCACCAATAATCCGAACAACATTACCTACATAGCCAGCAAGGCAGCCTGCAACAAGTACTTTGTCTGCTCCAACGGGCGACCCTGGGAGCAGGAGTGCTCCGCCGGTCTGCTCTATAATCCCGAGTGCCAGTGCTGTGACTATGCCAAGAATGTCGAGTGTTCGGTAAGTGGTTCTTAGGAAAAATTACCTTTAAAGATGTTCCGGATTACGTTTAAGATCTGTATATTTGTTTTCTTTAAAGATTGATGCCGCGGCCAGGAATATTAAGCCCTACTCCAGATCCCCTCTACGCCGAGCTGACATCCAGTGTCCCCAGGTGGGAATTCACTTCTATCCCCACAAGTCTCGCCGAGATGCCTACTACTACTGCGTCGATGGACGAGGAGTCACCTTGGACTGCACTCCAGGTCTACACTACGATCCCAAGGTGGAGGAATGCCGCGAACCGCAATACGTGGGTCTTTGAGAGCTTTGGAAATAATAAAAATATAATGAAAATGAAAAAGGAGGAGGGTGCATTATAAGTCTAAGCCACTTCCCCTTTCTCCAAGTGTACAAAATTATCTTTGCGGATATCTATCGACCTGCTTAAGCTCTTTTCAAAATTCTTTCACTTATCGGTATCGATAGAAAACGCGCCAAAAGCTTTAAAGTTTTTAAAATTTGAATTCAGAGCGCATGTGCCGTGCAGCCACCATAATGTTGAAGAGAGTAGCATTTCTCTCACTTTCGCTCTCTCCGCCATTCATGCTATGCGAAGTGCTGCACCCGCCCACCCGCCTGCCCACACTGGCGCATGGCCACACATACAGAAAGCAACAACAAAACGCTGTCTGCTGGCAAACGAAAAAAAAATAACGAAAAGAAAAGCCCCACTGGGGGAGAGGGTGGGTGGTGATGGTGGGGCCGACGCAAAGGGGGGTGGTTTGGCCGTCTGCGAAACTCATGAAAGTGAAAACGAGCACGGCGCTGCTGCTGCTGCTGCTAATGCTGCCCAGCAGCTGCATTCGCACATTCAGTTGGCTGCGAGTCCTTGCTCCGTTCGAATCGGAGGCGCCGCACATACCACCCACCGCCGCTCCCCCGTCTTCGTTGTCGTCGCCACACATCGTCCCCGTCCGCCTTTGCCTACGCCTCTGGAAAATACAGTTATTCGAGCGCGATTCCGCGGCAAGGAAAGAATCTCCTTGCACTGAATTGAATTGAATTGAAGTTTTGCAAGTCGCGTGAGTCCTTCGCGTGAGTGAGTGTGAGCAGCTCCCTTTGGAAGGATATTTATTTCTGTGTGTGCTCTCGCCTCGTGTGTGTTTGTCGGGTCAGTTGAGCGTTCAAGGACTCTGCTGCAGCGAAGAAAACCAGAATCAGAAACAGAAACAGAAACAACAATATGTATGCAATAACGGCCAGAAACGTGACGGCCGCGTGCCAATAAAGCCATAGGAGAGGGCATTGAAAAGCTGAAGGGGAAATATCTGAGAGCTCGAGAAAATATATATTGCAGGTAAGAAGAAAGCGTGCTGCACTTGAAAACAACCCACACACATAGATACAGTACTTCCCACACCCACAAACACACGCACACAGGCACATTGCACCGCATTGCTCATACGCAGTGTACGCCATCAAGTGGGCAGGCAGAGAGGCATTCAGTATCAGTCCCTGGCTGCACCTCTCCCCTTGGAGCCACTCGAATGGGACAAATTCACTTCCCGCCAACGAAATATCGCATATAAAACGAACGCCCGTCCCCCGCTCCCAAAGAGCTGAAATAATGGCAACGCGCAAAGGTTAACCATCCGAGTGAGAGTGAAATGGCGAATGTACATATGTATTGAGGGGGGTTGTTTAAGCTTTAAAGTTTACAAAATTTCTGTTTTGTTTTGGCATCTTTTCCCCATGACGCATAAATTTCATCTGCCGGAGGTGAGGATAACGCTCGGGTAAACACACAGCGGCAAACACAAATGTCTGGCATTTCATTTATGCAATGGACGGTCAAAAGAGGTTGGGATAGCTCCCCAATTCCCAAGAATTTCCCAGTGCCCTGGCCAAGGAATTTCATTCAATAAACATTTCTCTGTATGTTTCAGTCTGTGTCATCTGGCAAATTCAATGGAGGCATCCATTTCCACGGCAATTATCGTTAAAAAGTAGAATATTTGGTGCTATTTGTTTAATTCTAATAGAATTTGAATAGCTATAATTATATTCTCATACTTTCAAACAGAAATGATTACAAAAAGTTTATTAACAGTCTCTTGCTTTGCTTTAAATATTTTTCATTAACTTTTGAATAGCTGACATTATCTTTATATTTTTTCATTAGATTAGTTTTGATTTCCTGTTGGCACTTTGCCCGTGTCCAATCCTCCCCTGAACCACTAGGGTCTCTTTGGACGCTCCACGTTCAGCCGTTTCCGTGGTGTAGCGGTTATCACATCTGCCTAACACGCAGAAGGCCCCCGGTTCGATCCCGGGCGGAAACATGTATCGAGTTCTTTCTAATACGAATTGGGAGGACTTACTTTTTTAAATTTATTTATTTATTTTTATCAAAAAAACCCGAAATAGGAAGCATTTAAGACTTAGGTCAGTTAAAGTTTGTTTCAGGTCAGGCAAACTCTTTAAAATGATGTTGTACAACGCATTCAAAGGATTCGTTAGTGTGTAGAAGGCTTCCTGTGTGCATTCGTTGAAATGTAGGCAATGGAAACTCAGCTAATGAGTTTGTTGATAATCAGAATCAGTTGTACATTTTTATATAGTAAACTATAAGTAAAAGATCACTATTTTTATACCCTTGCAGGGTATTATAATTTCAGTCAGAAGTTTGCAACGCAGTGAAGGAGGCACCTCCGACTATATAAAGTATATATATTCTTGATCAGGATCAACAGCCGAGTCGATCTAGCCATGTCCGTCTGTCCGTCTGTCCGTCTGTCCGTCTGTCCTTCTGTCCGTCTGTCCGTCTGTCCGTCTGTCCGTTTCTACGCAAACTAGTCTCTCAGTTTTGAAGTTATCTGAATGAAACTTTGTAGTTAGCCTTCTATATACTCTCACTCGTATATATGTCGGAACGGGCCGGATCGGACGACTATATCATATAGCTGCCATAGGAATGATCGGAAAATTTTTACAAAAAAATTTTTAACTTTTTCAGTTTTCAATAGAATTGGGTCAAATTTGAGATATAGCTATTTTACTATACTCTACAATTTTGCATAAAATTTTATGAAAATCGGACTACTATATCATATAGCTCCCATAGGAACGATCGAGAAATTAATACAATTAAATTAATAACCTTTTCAGTTTTCAACTGATTTTCATCAAATTTTAGGTATAGGCATTTAATTTAAGTCTTCAATTTTGTGGTAAATTTCATGAAAATCGGACGACTATATCATATAGGTGCCATACAAACGATCGTTTGATGTGGAGGAAAAATGCAAATCAGTGAATGTAAAACTGCAAATATAATATGTATAGGTGAATGAAATGAAAGCAGGTATTACTTACTTCATTGTTTTTTAACACAAAGATATATAATTTGTATTGTATGGTTTTTTATTCATAGAAGTTCTATCTGCAAGGGTATATAAACTTCGGCGTGCCGAAGTTAGCTTCCTTTCTTGTTTATACTAGTTCGAGACATTTAGGTAAAGGTATCCCCACATTTTAATTCTATAGAAAATGTTTGCAATTAGTAGTATAGATTGTTTGATTAATTTACTTCAATAATGGATAACCCTATTAGTTTAGATTGTTTGATCAATTTACTTCAATAATGGATAACCCTCTTAAATGTGAATACAAAAATTACGATTTTCAGACATTTAACCTTTTAAAAAATATTTAAAACCAAACCAAAAAAACCATTACAATTAAACATTCAAGAATCATAAAATTCAAAGCCGAACATTATTAATACTAACAAAGAGTTATTTCTAATCATTTTTCTATCTTATCTTTTATTAAATAAATATACATAAATTAAAAAAAGGTATCTAGTTATTATAATTAAAGAAAAAAAGTAAATTTCAACATGTTTCCGCCCGGGATCGAACCGGGGGCCTTCTGCGTGTTAGGCAGATGTGATAACCGCTACACCACGGAAACAGTTGAAACTTGCGCGTCCCAGAGGCCAACTTTAATGACCTCAGCTGGCGGCAGGCCAAGAGTAAAACGAGTTCAGTGAATAAAATCGGAAGAGCTTTTGTGTCTATTTAAAGTGAATATAAAGTGAATGCTTCAAGGCGACCCAGAGTGAGTCCAAATGATTGGGCAGTTTGCCATCGAAATGGTAATGAGATATTTTGATAAAAGAAATATTATTTGGGAGGTGCTGCTGGGAAATTGATTTATTTAGTGGCTAAATATTAATTATATCGAAATAAATGGGCATGCTTTGTGGGAATTTAAATTCTTCCTTTGCTAATAATAAGTGGGTGTCAGAACAGAGGCATCCCTCAGCTGAGACAATGTCAATGCCCGAGTTCCTTTGAGTTCCGCAACAATCCTGGCCAGGCAAATCAAGCTGAACTTTACCCTGTCGAGTGGCAACAAAACTAAATCGCAGGCATCCGTTGGGGGCTGGGAGGAGGGATGCACAAAGCCAAATCATTGAACCCACAAACAGGACTCGCAGGACGAGGGGGAACGAGCAAACACAAGCTGAAATCCGAGTGGCGCCAGGCGAGAAAATGGAAACGAAATGAACCTATCAAAAGGTTGTCAAAATGTCTCTTTTAAATATGTTTATTTTATTACCCTGGCCCCGTGCCTGGGTATTTATTTATTTGCACTCAGAGCTCCGGCATTGTGTTGTGTAATGCTCTTCAGCTCGAAGAAGTTGCTGACAGCCATTGAACTTTGAACCTTGAGGCCAGAACAGAACAGAAAAGTTGCCCAAGTAAAAGTTATTTTATTTGTGCGGTTGATTTTCATGACTGTTGGCCACAGGGCCCACGGTGCGTATGTGTGCTTGATTGTTTATAATTTGAAAAATTCATTATTTCTCTGGGGCTATTTAAGTGCGCTGCTGGCCGTTGTCAGCCTTGATTGCCTAATACCGCAGAGGCACGGTTCAACGAACAGTTAAGCAAATGCAAACACCGGACACAATGGGACCCAAAATTTTCTCCGCCCAGGAAAACAGTCAGCATCATAATCCATCTTTGAATAGTTCGCGAACCCGAAAGTCTCGTCTCCAATGAACAAAGCAGGACCTCACAAAGAGCTTCCCAGGGTGAAGGGTTTGTCTCCGCGAGAACTCTTTTCTGACGCCTTCTAAATTAATAAATTACTTGTATATATACTCACGCATTTATACAAAAAATATTCCTAGTCAAGGATCTGATAATTTATTCTGTCCAAACCCCATTAAGTACGCCACTGGCGAGAAATATCCTTTTCCCACACAACCACTAATCTCAGTCTGTGTGTTTTGGCGAGCTTGGGGCTTTGGTGGCTTTGGTGTTTGGTGTTGGGTTTGCTGCCAATGACACGGGAAGTGAAAGCGTTCAATGAATGTTTCATTTTTCGAGCGGGTTCCTTGACCAGGAGAGCAACCTTTGTTCCTTGTTGCACCTTCGTCGAGGGGCGCACAAAGAGGAAGTGTGATGGCAGGCCAGGACCATGACCAGGAACTGCTGGAGGCGAGGGGTCCGGGTCTGGCAGTCAAGGAAGACGACTGAGGCAGCCTCATAAAATGCGATGCGCACGTTTCCTGTTTTGGCTTTTTGGGGGATGCAAACCGGTGGGAAGGGGGGAAGTGCAGGCGAATTCGAGCCATGGGCACCGGGGATAACTCTCTTCCGTCTGGCAGACACAAAGCCAAATGAGTCAGAGACGCTTTGTCTAGTCAAGGGCTTCCCCCTGCCAAACACACAAACACAGCGTGAACTTCAAATAAGTTTGCAGCACTTAATGCCAACTGTCTGTCTGTCTCTCAGCACTTAAAGAACATGTTTTCGAGATGTATCCGTATTTTTCCCTCGAGACTTAAAGCTTCTTCCTCTTTACCTTGAAAGGAAATGATTTTAAATTCAAATAATCAAAATATATTAAAGTTATATCTCCTTTTCCTTTGCAGTTGAATCCTCCTGTGATAGGTATGCATTTCTGGATCGACAAGCGCTCGCAGCAGTGCGGTTTTGGACGCTCACGCGTGGCAGCTTCGCTTTCCCATGCCGGAAGCGGTCTGAGCTATGGTCATCCGCCGAGGAGAGCCAAGTCCACCAGTTGCAGCGGTAACAGTGCAGGCAGCGTCGGTGGAAGTGGCCAGGCCATGCCCTCGGTGCATCGTACCTTGCCACAGGCACCCTACGACCTTCACCAGCCGGGAACGAGTCGTCAGTCGCAGTCGCAATCTCATTCGCATTCCCAGTATGCAAATAACAACTCACACCACCAGCAGCAGCACATGTTGCAGCAACATTCCAGCGGTGGCACCAGCAACAACAACATCTCGAACAGCAGCCATCATGTGTCTGCTGTCGGAGCACCAACCACTGCCAGTAACAACAACAATGCGGCCTCTTCGGCAGCCGTACTGACCGGAAGCGGAACCATCGTGCCCCTTGTGGCACGTGGCTCGCACTATCAATACCATGGCAGCACCCGTTATGCACCAAGGGCACAACAGCAGCAACAGCAGCAACTGTTGCATCAGCAGCAGCAGCAACAGCAACATCAGCATCAGCAGCAACATCCACTGCAGCAGCAGCAACACTACAGCTATCATCACCCGCAGTTTGGCAACATGGCGGTGCCTGTGAGACACTACGACTCACATCAGCAGCAGCATCATCAGCAACAGCAGCAGCAGCAGCAGCAGTATTCGGGCCATGTGTACGCGTAAGTACATGAGACTTAAAAAAAAGTAATATAATAAATATAAAGTATACGATCATATTCCAGTGACGATGCCTATAGCGCCTATCACCATTCATCGCATCACCAGCACGGCAGCAGCAATCATTCAAGCAGCGGCAGTCACAATCCGCGACCATCGACAGCCAATGCTGCTCCACGTCGCCACAATTCCAGCAACAGCATGAGGCATTCCTCGGCGCCAGCCACAACCACATCCTCAACCGGGGCAGTCACATCATCATCATTAGCAGCAGCAACGGCAGCGGCAGAAGTGACCACTGCTGGCACAACGGCACCGGTGGCTGCAACAACTCCACATAGCAACCAGCTGCAGCAGCAACATCATGCGCTGCTGCAGCACGCGGACTCGCAGCTGCTGCCCAGCCACCTGAAGTGCGGTATGTGCGCGTCCCTGGTATTGGCCTCAGTCTTCGTGGCTGGGACCAAGTTCTACTTTGACCACCAGGGCACCGGCTTGGAGGTGCTCATCTTCTGCGCCTTCTCGGCCACCTTCTTCTTGGCCGCCTGTATGGTCAGTCTGTGTCGCATTCCCAAGGGACTGCTCTCGAGTGCAGGTCGCGCTGAGGCACGGGCAGCTGTGTGCCAGAGTCGTGGGGTTAACTCCTCTCTGGCGGAGTTCGATGAGAGCCCTCCCCGCGCCTGTGTGTACCAGATGAGGGTGCCCTTCCAGGAGCAACAACAACTGACCGCCGGAAGCCCACCGGCAGCGGCGGCCACTGCGGGTCCGCCGCCCTACCACATAGCCATACTGCTGCCGGAACAGACGCCGGCGGCGATGGGCAAGCAGGTGCCCCTGGATGAGTCGCCGCCGCCGTCTTACGACAAGATCCTGGTATAGGGACCCGGAGCCGATCCTTGACCCTCAATGCACAACGCCAAGTACTTTTGCTCAGTATTTTTCTAAAAGAGATATCACCATTTATATGAACATTTACACGGCATATATGTATATTTAAAAATAGATATAGAAGATATATATCAGATAAACATATACTATATATGCGTACACGAGAATATGTACTTTTAAGCTCCGGAGTAATATTTTTACAATTTCTAAGCCCTCTACTAGAACCAGACTCTTCCATCCCCAAGGCCCAGACCCGAAACATGTCTTCTTCTACTGTCATTTTTGTTCTGTGATATGCTCAAGAGATCAAGAAGTCGTAAGCTATATAGATCAACGTACATATGTATGCCTGTGTGTGTTAAACAATTAGCTACCAACCAATCAGCCAATGCAACGAGAATAATGTAGAAATTTGCTGGTACAGTAAAAATAAAGGGAAATCAAGCAGCAGTATTAGTGGGCAGTGAATAATAATAATTAATTAACCAACCATGTGGAGGCATTCACATTTCAAATACGCAAAAGAGAGAGTGCAATATATATTAAGTAAGAATGATACAAAAATTAAATAAAATCAACAGGAGTTGTATTAAAAATTAATTAATTGTTTTAGTCTTTGTAACAGAGTTGGCTTTTTTAGAGACTTAGAAAGATTTTTTAGGTAATTTTTGTAGCCTGACACACACATCGACACTTTATCTTCTTTTGTTTTAATTAATTTTTGTTTGTTTTGTAATTCATACTTGTACGGTTGTAAGACAAACATGTTCATCCCCTCAAATGGCATTGTCAACATGAAAGGTACCGTCAGTCGCACTTCAAGAAACTTTCTTCAGGAAAACCGGCTGATGGTCAGCCAGCAGCCCAAGGAGAAGTCAAAAACCAGACAAAACTACGATCGATCTATTCTCACCCGAAAATCAGGAACTAATGACGCTCAACGACGTCCTGCTGGCGGAACGCTGAGGACGAAGCGCTTTGCCGAGAAACAAATCCAAACGGAGGACATCAGCGACGAGCGATTCTTGAGTGCCGCCATGCTCAAGTGCTCGGAGAGGGGACACTTCCGGTCAGCGCGCAGCGAGGGAGATGAGCCGGAGCTCAGAGAGGGCTTGGCCTACGGCAAGAGTCTGCAACTGCGGCGAACTGCGTCCAGCTTCGAGCTGGGTAGGATGCCGGAGCAACGCGATGGCTACCAGTCGGGGCAGTACACACTGTCCCGACCGTTAGCCACCGGATTCGGTATTGTACCCAGCTCGGATGACCAGTCCTCCGTCGGCTCGTCCTCCTCAAGGTCGATCACGCCGAGAGTAAGGCAAATGGAGATACCTGAGATGGTGGATGTCGCCATGGAGGAATCACTGAGTATGCGTTCCCAGGCTTCCTGTCAACACCTTTCCGATCCTCCACCTGAACAACCGCAGGAGCAAGAGTTGGAGGAGATGATCCCCCAGATGGAACAGCAGTCAGAGGAGCAGTTGCAGTCCGAGTCGAATCTTATGACTGCTGAAATGCGCATTGTGCTTTTGGAAGCCGCTCTTGAGCGCCAAAGGCAACTGATCGCTGAGTACAACCGGCTGCCCATTTCCATGGGAACGTTGCGCGTGCGCAATCTCAAGCGGCTGCTGGAGCAGCAGCTGGATGTGGTGGACAACGATGTGAGTGTGCTTTCTGAAGCTAAGGCGAATCTGCGGCAATTCGAGATATTAAATTGTAATCGAAGACGATTATTTAGATAAAAACATAAAAAAAAACATATAATCTGTACATGATGTATATTTATTATCAGCATACGTAAATAACTTTATCGAACGACTATATCATAACTTATAAGGCAGCCAATGGTCGTGAAATGTAGAAAAATTGCTAAGCGCTCGCTCCCTCTCTGTCTCTCTCTCTCTCTCTGTCTTGGTATGGCTAGCTGCCTCTGCCTATCCCTACACATAGCTCTCTCTCGCTCTCACTTTCTCTGTTCTCTTTGCTCGGGGAGTATAAATAGAGGCGCTGCCTTCGAGCCGGCTTCAGTCTGTTCGCGGCCATGTCAGTGTTAACATCTATTGTGATAGTGATTACCGTTCGATCAATGAAATGACCAATGGATAACCAGGAAGATGCCTAATCGGAGTCACCAAGAATATAACTCTACACTGGAAGGAATGAAGCTCTGACGGAAGAGGATAACCACGTGTCCTCTACTGCGGTAAGTCTTAACTATCAGAGTCGATCTAGCCATGTCCAACCATAATGTTAATTTGCCCTCTTTGGGCCACATAATCATGTCGAATTCTTTATGCGATAAAAAGCTATCTGATAATCCACAGACTATGGAAATGGATGACTTTGTTTATATTAAAAATGTATTCATTGAAATTAATATATACATATTTATGTAAAACAAAAACAAAATATAAATAGTACCGCTTCTATAAACTGGTGATTAGATAAGATTTAAAACAAAAATAAAGGGCATTACAATGCTTTAGACGCTATTTAAGCTTTGTTCTGATTGTTTGGTCACATTTGAAGTAATTTAACAAAGTTGTTTATTATTATTATTAAGAACATTTCTCCAAATTGATTAAAGAAAGTAATTTTAAAGTATGAAAAAGGAAGAAGGGAATTCCCTGAAATATATCCTAAGCAGCTAGACAAGTCCCAACAAATAATAGCTAATCATGCCTTAACCATAGTTAACCAAGTTCACCTAGATTCTTGGTTAACTATTTGCAATACGTATGACGTATCGTTGTTTATTTTTAAACATTGTTTAAAGAATAGTTATCAGTCATGGTCGCGCCCCCAGAATAGGTATCTATTGCACTTAAGTAGCGATAACACGGATGCCCCTGTTTACACTTTCCGATGATGCTATCACCAGCTGTTGTGGGCGGTAAAAATACAGAGGGGCATCGGGAGGGCAATCGACGTCCGAGCGAGTTGATTACCCCGTTTGACTTTGGGGGAGGAGCCGGCGACCCCAATGACTTTGGATCGTCGTAATCAGCAGCAATATACTGGAATAGTTGCCGTAATAAGCTCGGATAGGCGCCTCTCAGGTGCCCGGCAGTTGCTGTCAAGCGCTTTCAGGGGAAGGAACTAGCCGGAGACACTGCAAAATGCCGATCCAACTGGAGGAGGAGATATTTGGCCTGGCCGTGAATCCGTTCACCAAGTCGCCGGAAATGGTGCGTCGCTACACGCTCAGCAACAGCAAGGGCATGTCCGTGTCGGTGATCCAACTGGGGGCCATCATCCAGAGTGTCCGCCTGCCGGATGCCTATCATAAGGTTGATGATGTCTGCCTGGGATTCGAGGTGTGTATATGGTGTATTCTCTTGGTATTCCCCTTTGGGAATTACATCTTTTGTGACATTTTCCATAAAGAATAATTGATTAATTATTTAATTCGTTTCAGGACATTGCATCCTATTTGGCCACCAAGTCGTCCTACATTGGTGGAACCCTTGGGCGAGTGGCCAACCGTGTGGCCAATGGCGAGTACGAGGTGAACGACACGAAGTGCAAGGTGACCAAAAACTTTCAGGTAAATATAAGGTACTCTCCTTTTAAGACTATGGTTTTAAAATCTAAATGAATATATCTATCGGTTAGTTTAAGAAAAATCTATTCTAGCTAATAACTATTATTAAATTTATATTTGTAATTATTAGGACAAGTACCAATTGCATGGTGGATTCGTGGGCTTCGACAGCGTCATTTGGGAGGTTGTGCAAAAGTCGGACGAGGGTGTGGTCTTCCGGCACATGTCACCCCACAACCACGAGGGATATCCGGGCAACCTGGTGTGCCTGATTACCTACCAGCTGGACGAGGAGAATCGACTGTGGGTGCGGTTCGAGGCCACCACGGATCGTTCGACAATGGTAAATATTTCCAACCACGCCTACTTCAATCTCGCTGGCCATGGAACCGGCTCCAAGGCTCTGGCGGAGCACACGGTGGAGATTGCATCCAACCATATTGTGGAGACGGACGGTGATCAGATACCCACGGGACAGCTAGTCAACGTGGATGGAACTGTCTACGATCTGCGTCTGCCAGTGCTTCTGGGCGACCGCCTGCGGCAGTTCGAGGAGCGACCCATTGAGGGTTACGACAACTGCTTTGTGGTCAACGATGGCCAGCTGCAGAAGACCATCGCAAAAGTGGCTAAGATTGTGCATCCGCCTAGTTGCCGGGTCCTCGAGGTGTGGACCAATCAGCCGGGTATGCAGTTCTACACGGCGAACAATCTGCCGGACGTGAAGAACGGCGAAGCACCCATTATCGGCAAGGATTGCACTCACTATATCAAACACGGTTCTTTCTGCGTGGAGACCGAGAAATTCCCCGACTCTATGAACCATCCGGATTTCCCATCGATCCGTCTGGATGCGGGTGAGAATTACAGACACGAGGCTATGTACTGGTTCAAGGTCGAGGAGTCCTGGAAATGTTGCTGCAATAACACTGCCTGAACGTAATGACGATCTCTAGTAAATAAAGCCAAATTCCTGTCCCAAAAAAAAAAAAAATAACTATTTCTTATTTCTGGGAGTTCAAGACATATATTCTTATTAAATACTATATTTAGTAACCTTTGTAACACATTAAATATATAGATTTCTGTCTTGGATAAAAGTCTATATTTCCATTTCACAAGGCTGGAACTCTTGTTGTTTTCTGTCAAATATTTATGTGTTCTTGCTAGACATTCGAGTATATTTTGTTTCTTAAGTAGAAAGTAGAAAAGCTTGAGAATAATACAATGAATAACTGCAAAAAGGGCGAGATGCGCCAGGAGTCCGACAGCCTGGGACCCATGGAGGTGCCCATGGATCGTTACTATGGCGCTCAGACGATGCGTTGTGTTCTCAACTTTCGCATTGGTGGCGATGAGGAGCGCATGCCGGTGAGTTAAACCAAGGAGCTAGCAATATAATAAGATGTGGCCTGCAGGAATATAACTAATTACTCCTACATGTGCTTAAATAAATCATTTAATTAATATCTTCTTATTTATTTATTCCCATCTTATGGTCGAGACCAGCGCCAGATCATCCAGGCCATGGGGATTTTAAAGAAGGCAGCTGCCGAAACCAATCAGGAGTTTGGATTGGACCCCAAGCTGAGCACAGCCATCTCCAATGCCGCCGATGACGTGATCTCTGGGAGGCTCTACGACGAGGGTCACTTCCCACTGCCCATCTGGCAGTCTGGATGTGGGACGCAGAGCAACATGAACACCAATGAGGTGATTGGTAACCGGGCCATTGAGGGGCTAGGTGGCAGGATTGGCTCCAAGGATCCGATTCATCCCAACGACCATGTGAACATGTCTCAGAGCTCCAACGATACCTTTCCCTCGGCCATTCACATCGCTGTAGCCACTGCCTTGACCAAGGAGCTGCGTCCGGCGGTCACCGCTCTGCGAGACGCTTTGCAGACAAAGTCAAAAGAGTGGAAAGAAATCATTAAGATTGGACGCACGCACGCCCAGGACTCAGTGCCAATGACGCTGGGCCAGGAGTTTAGTGGCTATGCCCAGCAGATGACCTATGGGTTGGCACGAATCGAGGCGGTGCTGCCACGGATCTACATGTTGGCCCTGGGCGGCACTGCCGTCGGAACGGGATTGAATTCACGCCGGGGATTCCCCGAGAAATGCATCAGACGAATCGCCCAGCTCACATGCCTGCCCTTTGAGGTGGCACCCAATTTCTTTGAGGCGCTGGGCAGTCGCGATGCCCTGGTGGAGGTGCACGGAGCCCTCAACGTTCTGGCCGTCAGTCTGATGAAGATGGCCAACGATATACGACTCATGGGATCTGGACCGCGCTGCGGCTTGGGAGAACTCTACCTGCCGGAGAACGAGCCGGGCAGCTCGATAATGCCCGGCAAGGTTAATCCCACACAGTGCGAGGCCTTGACCATGATCTGTGCCCAGGTAATGGGCAATCATGTGGCCGTTTCCGTAGGCGGTGCCAGCGGGAATTTTGAGCTGAACGTCTTTGCGACGATGATTGTATCAAATGTGCTGCGTTCCATTACGCTGCTCGGTAAGGCTTTCTCTAATACTAACCTTTGTTTCTTTGACCTTTATATCTTTATAGCGGACGGATGCCGCAGCTTCAATTGTAACTGTGTCAAGGGCATCAAGCCCAACAAGGAAAAGCTGACCAAGAACGTTAATGAGTCGCTGGTGCTGGCGACTGCCCTCTGTCCGAATATTGGCCATGATAAGACGGTCCAAATTGCTAAAGCGGCTCTCCAGAATGGAACCACGGTGAAGGAAGAGGCCTTAAAGGCCGAAATTTGCGAAAAGGATTACAACGAATGGGTGCGCGTCGAGAAGATGCTGGGACCCCACTGATCTTCTTAGCAATGGTCTCCGTTTCATTTGTTTCATATTCCCCACTTAATTATAAATTTCATGTCAGAGCTACATATGGTTTCTTCTTTGAGTTTGATCTTCCTTAACAAAGTCTTAATAGGGGTATTAGAAAACTACACCATACGTTACATACCTCTTTGTATTTTCCCAGAAGACAAGTTCATAAGGTTGCTGTATAATCTGTTACTTTAACTACGAAAGCTTACAACACACTTTAATTATGAATAAATAATATTATCTCTTAATTTGTTTTCATCGGAAACTGCATATTAATTGCTATCAATAAGAATAATGAACAAGAAAATAAATTAACTTCAGAAAACCCAAGTTTATATACCTTGCAGCTTTCAATTTATTTATACGATAGAATTTGAAGACGGCCATAAGTTAGCCTAAAATAGTCTTATTCTTTGAATCAATATTTATTTGTTATCTTATATATATTCTTATATTATTATTATATATCTTATATTATTATTATTATATCTTATATTATTATGGCTTACTCATGTTAGTTTTATGTAGGTTAATAAATCTGCATACTCAATATCAAATTTAAACAAATTTAAAATTGTTATCAATTTTGTAAAACTTTTGACGATAACCCCTTATTAAATTTTAAAATTTTAAAAAAATTAAAATTTTTTAGGCTATTAATGCTGATCAAGAAAATATGATTTATAGGGTCGGAAATGACTCCTTCTCTGTGTTACAAGCTTTGACTAAAATGCAATATCCTTGCAATGGTATTAAAAGTGTATCTTTAACATGATAAAAGATAGGAGAATCTTATATCTAAGGAATCTGTAGCTATTTATTTATTCCCTGGCATGGATTAGATTAAATCATCAAAGTGTGCTTGGACTCAAAAGCCAGTTGTAGCCTCTGAGCTTGGGGACACATAAATCTCCTTTTAGTTTTTTCTTTTGGTCATCTAGGCAAAAATTTAGCAGGGTATCTCTCCCAAGGACGAGACAGGATGGTGCGTGTGATTGAGGACATGTTCGGCATAGCCGTCAACCCGATGTCCCAGAAGACGGACAGGGTGCGCCGCTTTACTCTAACCACGGAGCGTGGCATGTCCGTCTCCATAATCACATTGGGAGCCACCATACAGTCACTTAAGGTGCCGGACTTCAATGGTAAGCTGGAGGACGTGTGCCTGGGCTACGACGATGTGGCCGGTTACTACCGGAACCAACCGAAGTACTTCGGGGCCACCATCGGGCGGGTGGCCAACCGGACATCTGGTGGCCGCTTTAAGCTCTGCGGCAAGGATGTGAGTGTGAGCCGGAATGTAAAGGATCGTTACCACATGAACGGCGGCTTTGTCGGATTCGATAGCGTCATCTGGGACGTGGTCGGTGTGCACAAGGACGGCATCACGTTGCAGCATATCTCGCCGGACGGCCACGAAGGCTACCCTGGAGAGCTGACCACCAACATCAACTTCTCGCTCAATGAGACGGGCTGCTTTGGGATGCGGATCGAGGCGCGGACCAAGGCAACCACAGCGGTGAACATCTCGAATAATAGCCACTTTAATCTGGCCGGCCATAAAGCCGGAAAGGAGGCGCTCTATCAGCACATGCTGATGATCAAGGCCCAGAAGATCGTTGATGTCGACCAGGAGCTGCTACCAACCGGCAAGCTGATGCGCGTCCGAACCACACCGTATGACTTCTCCAGCCTGGTCAGCCTCGGCAAGCGCCTGAACCAGTTAATCTCCTGCCCCCTAAACGGCTTCGACAACAACTTCTGCGTGGACGTTTCCCCCAACCGCGTCGAGCTGGTGGCCCGCGTCGTTCATCCTTGCAGTGGACGCTTTATGGAGGTGCACACCAACCAGCCGGGCCTTCATTTATCCACGGCCAACAATCTGCCGGACGAGGACAGCAACGAACCGCCGGATACAGGCAAGGACGGTGCGAGCTACGTTCGCCATGGAGCCTTCTGCGTGCAGACGCAAAAGTATCCGGATGCGCTGAACCACTGCGATTTCCCCACGATCGTGTTGAATCCGGGACAGCTCTACGACCACCAGGTAGTCTATCGGTTTGGTGCTTGTCCCAAGCGTGTTTAGAAAGGACACCAGCCAAAATCCGAAGTGGAGTAATAAAGGTTTTTTAATAATTAGTAACGTGTTTAAATATTTGAATATTTGATAACCAGACTATCGACCTATCGATATGTATTAACATCGAATGCAAGCTACTCGATAGTACTATTCAATTCGATCATTAATATTCGATAAGAGCCATCGGTACTTTGCCATCCCAAAGATAAATATAAAAAGAAATTGGAAAACAAGTAAAAGTACTTTCTGCCACATACAAGAAAAATAAAAGCCGTCAAGCTGTTCAATTTACCGCAAGTGTACAAACACACGACAGCCGACGCCGTCCGTCAGACAAGCAGCAGCAGCAGAATGCCAGTAGGTTCACTTCCGTTTCCGTGCCCCCACTTGAAATATCCATCTCCTGCAAAGGAGCTCTCATTCCGTTCCTCCCCCTTTATTTCGACCCGTTTTCGCAGGTGCACGAGTTCAAGGTGGAGATGACCTGCGGCGGATGTGCCGCCTCCGTGGAGCGAGTCCTAGAAAAATTGGGCGGTACGTAGACTTAGTGACTGATATTAGGGAGTAAGTGACTTTCGTTAGGCCTAATTAGTGGCCCCCTTATCAGTGTTGCTGGGAGGTATTAACATAGCTACACATGTGTACCTACATACATATTTGCGACTATGTGGCTTACTTTCCAGTATCGTTTTTCTTGCGCACAACTGCGGCCAACGTAATAGGTTTTCGTGTTAATTTTTTTTTTTTTTTGCGTATTTTAAAGAAGCTTTGGAGTGAGCAAAACTTTTTATATACATACATATAACATATATTGATTTACAAACCGTTAAAGTTTATTTGTTTTTTTTTTTTTAAATAAACAAAACAGTGCCTTAATTTGTTTAATGAAAAATTAACTTCACTTTAAAAGATAATTTTGCCTTAGACCCCGAAGTTTGTAATAATTTTAACATTTCTTACTTTATTAAGAGTTCGAAATCTCGGTTTAATAGAAAAATAAGTAGTGAAGTAAAGAAATGCTCTAAATCAAAGTAGAAACTATATACGACTCCTGTTCGCCATCGCTTGTACTTGGCAGGAAAGGCATGAAGAAGAGAGAGAGGGCTAATCATTTTCATTGCTAGCCTGATAAATTGGCTTTTAAATACTGATCTTATAATGTAAACCCCTTAATAATCGCGTCGATTGTGGTTTGTGGTGTGACATAATTAAACATAATAAATTATATTTTGCGCTGATAAGCTCGACAATAATTTGCATTGTTAAAAAGTTCCCACCGCAGGGCCTATCGGTCCTGGTTCGCGGTGTGCCTTCCGTATTGCTGTTACCAACTCTAATTGTCCAATTTTGCCACCCCACAGATAAGGTCGACAAGATCAACATCAACGTGGAGGATCGAACTGTGACCGTGACATCGAACCTGTCGCCGGATGAACTAATGGAGCAGATCCGCAAGACCGGCAAGACTGTGACGTATGTCGGCGTGAAGAAGGAATGAGACCAGTTTTTCAGCAAGTTTCAGAAATACGGCAAGCTGAAACTTGAGGTCTAGGGTGTGCGTGTGTGCAGGGCACGTGCACCCTAGAGTACGGATGAGGGATCTTCCACAACGTTGCCGAGATGGGTCGCTGTTCAGTGATATTCATGAGATACATACAAATTTTACTCTTAATCAAAAAATCAAATAATAGGAACGGTCTACAAATTATACACTTAGTATTCTTGCCCAAATTGTATGTAGCTCGTAGTTAACCAATTAAAGTGTTATTATATTATATGCATTACTTATGCCTAGATGAAGAATTTCAAATTCAAATTTAACAAATCAAAGGGTCAAGCTTAAAGTTTTTTGCCTCGGTAGATATACTCGTATTTAGGGGTATCGTATCCAATTAAATCCAATGTAGTTGCCAACAAATGATATACGCCAATTGTCCTCTTATGACTAATCGTAATAATATTACAAATTTTAACTTTTTGCAAAATATCAAATATATACAAATACGTTTTAATCTCAAAATAAGTAACTTGATGTGTTTTGTGTCTGGAAAACCTTTGAAACTGGATCCCTTTTGATTATTTAAATTTCCCCCATAAGTAATTTGATTTCCCGTTAAGTTTACTCTGTTCCCCAACCCCAATCCAATCCAAACTCGAAATGTAGCTTGAAAATTGTACCATTGTCACTCCTAATCTCCTTCAAATCAGATGCGGGCACTTAGTCATCAGGCCAGGCCCAAGAATGGGCGACAAATAGCCGGTTTATGCCCTATAACAATCGAGGAGGCAGCATGAACACGTCATAAATCCCGGGAACCCACACTTATCAAACCCGAATACCATATTCTCGGTTGTCTGTTTTCCATATTCTGTTTCTGATTTGATTTTGTGATTTTTTATTTTTTGTGTGGTGCATGTTCGAGGCGTAACGAAATTATCAATCAAATGCCAGCTGGCATGCAAAGAATGCAGCGCGCACACACAAAGACCCAAAGCGACTGCACTAATTGAGTCCGAAGGTGGAGGTGAGGAGGCAGCTTTCCGCTTGGAATTTGATGTCGTCGTCGTCGAGGTTGCCGTCGGCGGCGGCTACCTGAGGCTGTGTCTTCCCAGGTCTCCTGTTGATTTATGCCCCTGAACAATAAGAAACCCCGCCTGTCACAACACCAGTCACACATCCCATCCAGAGACACGTCTTCGTCCTCTGACCGATGATAATCCCTCAAGTGTGGCCCGCTGATCAGTTTCCAGATAGCATCGGGCAAGGGATCAAATACCGTTGAAACGTCGACGATAAAATAAACAGTTAGAAGGGTCCATTGTTTGAAGGCATCCTTAATCGATTTGGTTAATTGTTGAGCAATTTAGATAATATTTGGAATTTATTACTACGGAAATGGTAAAAAAATATTTGATTTTCGGAAGGGTAGCCTCTTTGATCCAGCCACTGAATTTAATTTGAGTTTATGGACAGTAACGATTAGTTCCCATTGGAAAAAGGATATAATTTAAAGTAATCAAAAGACGTTAAATAGTAAGGTACATAATAAGTAACTATGTTATAGGTTTTACAAATAGAACAAGCTTTTATTCTATCATTAAATACTTTTAAACATATTTTAAAACCCACTTTAAGGAGTAACTTGGCCAGGTTTTAAGACTGTGAACCAAAACGATCTGCTTAAACGTCAAAATTTGGACACGCCCGACGCCTCACGCCTTTTCTTTTCGGGAGGACCAGTCTTCGGACTTCTCTTGTGTTTTTGTTTTCATTCTTTGGCGATTTTTTTGTTGATGTTTTTCTTTTGCACACTCGGTGCATTGTAGACATTCCGAAAATCGCTGGCGAAATTCCTTGGCGCATGCTTGCCAGCAAGTTGGCAGTTGGCAGTTGCAACTGGCCGCTGGCCACTAGCAACTGGCAACTGGCAACCAGTTGGCCGCTCGTTTTTCGCCTGGTCAAGTGGCTCGGCCTCGGCTTGACTCGGCTCGGACTTTGGCTAAGCGGAGTTGGTTGATCCAGGCGGCATGGCGTTCCTGGCCGAAACACACAGCACAACACAACACACGCACACACAAAGTGCCGCCGCTGCAGCGGCAACTGTCGTGGTTGCGGCTGTTTATTGTCATGGGAGAGATGTGAGGCGGACCGAACAGAACAATGGCACACTAAACGAAACTTAGGGCCCAAGTTGGGCAATAAATTCTGAAATAAATTGTGACATTTTGGGAAGGAAGGAGAGCGGAGAGATCTCAAAGATCTCGTCCAAGACAAGGTCACTTTGGCAGCGATTTAGCAGTGATTAATGCCAAGCGAATCGATTTGGCGGCTCAAGAGTCTTTGTCCTGCGCTGGTCATTGAACCAGAAGTGACTCCTGCTCCCAGCTAGCTCCTACTCCTACTCCTACTCCTACTCCTACGCTCCTCGGTCATTTGGGGGGAACACAGTAGCCAAGATCGAGCAGTGCAAATTGCAGAGACACCGTGGAAGAGAGCGAGAGCTGGAGCTGCAGTTTGCAGGAGGAGAGACCAAGAGAGAGCAGAACGAGGAGAGGATCAAACCAAAGCAAACCTGTCGACGCCATGGAAATTCCTATGGCCCGAACCCGAACTGCGATTCGGTGGCCAGCGAGCGTGTGCCAAGCCCACGAGCTTCGTTTTGGCCATAACAAGAGCAGGGCGGAGGAAGAATCGCCGAGCGCAGCGTAAATAACTCATAGATAATAATGGCTCAGGCATTTGCAGTCCATGCAGGCAAAACAAGAGACTTAGGACACGAACTCGAGTAGCCGAAGGAGTCGCCAGGCAGTCGGAGGCAGTCGTCATGTAACAGCACCGTCCAAAAACAAAAACAAAAACCAAAAACCAAAACAAGATCAACTGGTTTGAAATACTCACTCAAAATGCTGCCCAGAGCAAGTGAGATGGCGAGAGCAACAGAGAGAGAGAGAGAGAGAGAGCGAGCAGCAGACCTGTTGAGTCCAAGACCTCGTCTATTGCGCGTGCCTTCGGTAGACCGCTGGATCGCTCGATCGCTGCCTTTGGTCCGTAAAATAATTTTCCCCCAAAGAAGTCTCAGTTGTGTTTTTGACTTTTCGCCGTGCAGAACGATTCTCCAGCCGATCGGTGGTGCCATCGTCGAAGTTATCCCAGTCTCTCTGCCCCGCGGCCAATATGTGATCCGTTCTCCCCTGCCTCTCCGTGTAATGTTCGCGAAAAGTTGTTTTCGGTATATATAGGCAGCATTCGCATACATCCGCAGAGTCAATTTTCCTGTTAGCCGAAAACCTGCCAAAATACAACAACAAGAAAGGAGGAAAAATACTCGTAACAACAAAAAGGAAAAGAATACGAGAAAAATATTTATATGCATATAGAAATATAACTGCAGTAGTGAGTGTGTTGTGTGTGTGTTTGTGAATATGCAAAAATAATGCTGCTTGCCAGCCACTGAGCAGTGGTAGGTGAAAGTAAAGCAATTTGTTTAATTAATTGCACGCAAGCAATTTTCCACAGAGTCAAGCGATCACTGTGCCAAGTTAGCGAGTCCAATTAACTGAATAATCGCAGCTGCCAATGGCCAGCAAATGAGCGGGGTTCATCCAGGTTAAACCGAGCTTAGACCTCCTCCAGTGGATTATCATAATTGCGTGAGTGCCTTGACTGCTTAAGAACCATTTGGATTGGGATTATCCGCTCGAGTTGGAAGCTGGCAAAAGGGATTCAACAGCCATTGGCATATTGGCAAAGGTGAGTTGAAGATTATAATTATTAAGGTCGTAAAAATAGTAATTGGTTCATTTAAAAATGGTATAGTTCTTGTAGTTGTCCATTAAAGCTTAAACTACTAATAAATTTGAAAGTTACTCCACAGTTACCTAGCATCAGCGCATTAAAAATACTGTAAATTTAGATAATAATAGTTTATGTAACATTCATGAGCTGGTATTCCCTGCTCAAGATCCGCATAAAATCTTTCATAAGCAAATTCATGGTTTATTACCTCAACTTGAGGCTTCCGAGGAACCTGAAGTAGCTCATCACCACACCTCAGAAACGGAACATTAATGTGTTCATTCTTGCGCTAAACTGTTCATAAAAATATGGAATAAGTTCGCTAATAAAGAGCCGCATATACATATACAACATATCGGCAGGGAGATAAAATCTATATGCAAATGCGACCGACTTACAGTGGAGTGGAAGTTATGCTAAAGACCCGCATGAGAAGATCATTTTTTGGCTTGTCTCTTTCTGTGTCGCAACCCAATTTCAATTCTGATTTCGACCCGAGACTTTAGCCGAATTGTTCGTGGCGAACTATGACAAAACATTTGGCAATAAGCTGGAAATATGGGCTGTATGTATCTTACAGATACATTTAGCTAGTTTTTCCGTGTTCTGGTTTAAAGTGGACAACAAACAAGCTCGTAAACATTCGGGCACCCAAGCCCCAATGGGCACACACTTGCATATATCTTTCTATCTGTGGGTACAAGTTCGAATGGTCTTGGTTAAACTATTTTTATTGACTTTAGCTTTGGCGTTTGACACCTTTGCGGTTTTGTTTACGATCTGAATGAGTATCTGTCGTCCAAGAAACAAAAGAGAAAGAGAGAGGAGGGTTGCGAAGGGGAATTAACTTTATGCTAAGCACTGTTAAATATGTTGGTTAAAATGTTTGTGTTTAGCCATCATAGACAAGTGCCAGTATGCTTGAGATCGTATTAATTTCCTTAATTAAAGCTAATTGTCTTGTGCACTTGGAAAATAAATAGATTTGTTATGGGCTATAATTAATGTTTGTGTTAATTTGATTAGTTTTTAAACGAATAATTAAAGCAAATATAGTTTCTTATATAAATAAAGTTTGATAAATTGCTTCAAACCCATTCTAAAATGCAAATAAGCGACACAAGTTATAAAATTTTACTTACACAAATATTTACAATAAAATATTCTATAAACAGTACTACTAATTCAGCTTGATTTTGTTAGAAAATATTGTAGACTTTGAATAAATTACCTTTAATAAATTATCTTATTTTTGAATGCTGTTTCATGTGACAGTATTAAATGTACGGATTTAAAATACCTTTTTCTTACGTTATACCTTATTCTGAGTAAATTTCATTTGATTCTTAATTTTACAATTTATGTTTCAACGAATATATTTAAACGCATATTAATTTTGGTACCACCTCCAATAGAAAGAGACTTTAGTACTAAAAGAGGTCTTTAAAAAACACTTTCTAACTTGTGGGCGGCTTGATCTCAAGAATACCCAAAAGCTAAGCCCACAATCGAGATTTTAAAACCAAGAAAAGACAAACTCTATATATTTTTAAAGGTCTAAAATAATACACCGTATTAAAAGACTAAATTAATTATTTATTTGATGTAGAATTCAACCATAGCCACC